ATTGTTAAGTACTTTTCATGTTTTGAAGACGCGCAAAAAATGATAACGATAGTTAGGCATTAAATCATTATGCCGACGAGAAGGTCTTGTCCGTGGCGTAGGCGGTGATCCTGCTGCAAAAGGATTCCTGACCTACGACATGAACCTCCGCGGGAATCGTCTGCCGAGGGCAGTAAACTCTTCCCGACAGTAACCCTCCCAAGTAAAGGTCCGGGTTTTAACGAGAGAGCTCTCTCGTGCGTTTCGTTCGCTCGTCTAATTTATGGTAAATGAAAACGTGGTTGGCGCGCTCTCTCACACACGTAGAACGAAACACGACCTCACGCGTGTTCGCGATATAACGTGCGTGTTATCAATTAATTTGCAACAACGCCTCGCAAGATTCGATCTTGTCTCTCGTCACAAAATTTCTTTCGACCCCTTTCGATATTATCAAAATATTGCATAGCGATGCAATCCTTTCTCGAGAGACTATGAAAGATGAGAATATTTTTGAAACAAAGTTTGTCACATACACGATGTACAATCTCTGGACGACACAAACTTCTTGTGTCATTCGGATTGTCAATAGCATAGCGTTCACCCGAGTTTTCGTGACGTACGACACGAATAGAATTCTCTCGTTTCTGTCTGTAAGAACTTAATAGCCGCAGGGTTGTTCTCCTGAATCGGGCATGGTACAGGACTCTTAAAGATAATGACAGCGCAACTCGCGTTATTACCACATTCGGTACCAACAATTAGTTATGTCCGAACCGGTAATGATCCGTTCCGAATAGTTTACAACATGAGCGAAGAAGTATATCGTCTCGTAGCGACCACTTTCGTTTGGTCAAGAACGATCGATTATCTGTGCATACGTACGTACTTAGTTCCAACGCGTTTGTAATGGGTGTTTGATGCATTACTCTGGTACGCCCCATCGTTCATTATCTTACTAGAATTACATGTGGCAGTCCCGTGCGTAATCATAAATAATCCTTCCAATGCATTCTATTAAGTGTACAAGGATAGTCTTAAAAAAACCGAAAAAAAAGACACGTGAAACAGAAACAATTTAAATGTAAACTCCGTTCGGGAAGATCCGCGTTTGCATAATAAATTTTGAGCAACACGACTAGGCGTCACTGGATTTTCACAAGCGTGTTCGCGCGCGACTTCGTACGTATTTTCTCCTTCGCATACCGCAAATGTTGCCGTCGGCGGGTGGGAAGTGACCAGTCGCCGGCCAAGGATAATGGACGAGCGAGCGGGAGGAACCGATATCGGTGCATTGGCTACGGTAAATTCCCCAGGTAATTGCTTGCGGAACGAAAATCCACGACGATAGATAACGCGAAGCCACATGTATAATAGACGCACGAGGTTTAAATTCTCTAATTGCAATAAAGGGAACATCCTAGATAATAACATGTGCGATCTCGCACATATCTCTCTCTACAAAAGTACAAAAACGATCTAAGAAAAATTAAGTGTCAGCTAGGATTGTTTGTAAAATGAAATATTTAAATTAATAAAACTAGAAGATATCAACTTGAAAAATTCGGCGAGTTACAAATGTTATCTAAAATAATTTGTCCGCGCACACGATATCGCGCACGTTCCTGGCTAATGGTTGTATCACACTTTTCAACGGAATATGAGTCGAGAACATAATAAAGGGAGATGCCTGTGGTATAATGTATATGCACCCCGCGGTAAATTCTGACGGTAATTGCAACGCATGTATACACGTTTGCCCGTGGAATCCTCGGAGAAAGATAATAATAGCCGAGGGGATGCTGCTTTCAGCGACATAAACGGATAAAGATTGGATGAAACGCGCCGCGCCGCCAAGATCCTTTCTTCGCACCGTATGCATCTTCACTTTCTCATCGTACAAAAAAAAAAAAAAAAAAGAAAAGAGAAAAAGATCTATAGCTCAATTATGCAGTATATTTCTGCATGATCATTGAATCTTCGCATCGCCGACTTGCCGCTCGTCCTTTCGTGAGAAATTGGTAACTCAATATGTTTCTGTTAGACGATGTTTTTTGAAAATGTCTATTTGTGTAAAAATTAAACAAAACGTATTTAATGTAAATTAAAATTTTATATTCATAAAAAGCCCAAATGGATTGCAAGTTTCTCCTTTTTTATTATGCGTTTAGAAAACTTACAGCAACTAAAGCGCGCTTCGTCTTACTCTTTCTCCCTTTTGCTTTTGCGAGCCGCGAGTATTTCCACTTGGCAAGTGAACATAAAGTTGAATGTAGTGATTTTTTTTTGTGTCCACGAGCTAAAACGGCCGACCGTAATACAAGGTACGTAATACGTACACCGCCAGTAAATTCTCCTGATAATTGCGAAGCGGCGGTAAGTCGGGGCGCGGGTGCTCTCGGAATCCTGGAGAAAGGATAATAGCCGAGAAGGAGCGGTTTTCAAAGCGCAACTTTGTGTATGTCGTGTGCACTCGCGAGAGACACGAAAGAATATAGATCCCCCGTGAGAAGACATCGATTTTATTGCGATCTCGTGATTTCGTCGAGACTCTACGAGGATATGGCGTATATAGCCGGCTCAAAAACCGATGATTTATGATCCGCGCGTGCACGGTTGTAAAGCTTGATCGACGCGTGTGTAAATTATACATTCATCCGTTCTTCAATGTCAAAGCGAGATTAAAAGAGCGCGTAATTAATAACGTTGATTAATAAAATTGAACGTACGTCAGTGAAAGCTGAAATAAAAAGAAGAGGTTTTAAATTTTGTAATCTCGCAAGTGTCGCATAAATATTCGAGAATGGAAACACGTTTCGCGCGGGTTATAGGCCGCGCCAATAACCCTCGGACTTTTAGAGCGGGGTTGGCGCGAGAGCACTCGAAGAACGATCGCGAGCGCAATTTCCGAGCGAGAGCCTTGACGCCCGAGATATATACCGGCTATGTGTAAATTGTGGGGCGCGTACCGACTGTGCTAAATTACTTTGTTTGATACGCCGAGCCGACAGTATCGCGGAACAATCCGCCTACGCACCGCACTTACGTAGGTCCAACTCTTCTCTTACATTATCTCTATCTCTCTCTCTCTCTCTTTACGCTGCTGCGGAGAACAACAATCAAGTTTCTTGACTACAACGTAAAAGAATTTGCGTCCGCCGAATATTGCGACTGAAATTTCTTCTTTCTCATTATCATCTCATCTCGACTCGTAATCGCGCGCGGATATACATCTTTTCGCGAGACGGCGAGGGTTTCCTTCGCTCCCTCTTCTCTCGCCACCTTGTTAAACCAATGGGAACAGATTTCTGATTGCGTACCCGGCTGGATGGCGGCTGAATGCTGTTGCTTGCACACCTCCTCGACGAGAGATTTCGCAAAGAAATCATTTTTACGCCAAGCTCATCTTACCGTGTTGCCGAAATATCGTGTAGCACAATACAAACGTTAGCATTCTCTTTTGTTCTAATCCGCGGTGTGGCGTAGGTCCGACCGATTCCGTCGAGGCCCCGCGATATGTCCGATCCAGTCGATGTACCATCGAGGTCTTCGTTCCAGACTCCCTTTCGGATTTCACAAATATACGTCCCCTTTCCGTGAACTTTCGTCCAAGAAGAGAGTTATTGCCAACTTCTCTCGATCGATTCGTTGGTTTATTTGTCGAAATAAATTTCAAGTCGGTTGCTAAATAAATTTTTCGAAAATCTCTCTCTTTTTTTCCATATTCGCAATATCTTTCTTAACGAGATATTTATCGACGCGCTCGATTCTATATCCTCGCGGTTCCACCGCGCGGTAAAGTTTCGCAAATCGGTCGTTTCGCATGCGAAACCGACCTACCGTGCTGCCGGGGCATTGCAAAAGTTTTCTCCTCCCTCCCGAACAGACGAGAAAGACGACACGAAGAACCGCCCGCAGGAGATTCCCCGCATTTGGAAATGTTAAGTCACTCTGGGAAAAAATCTCTCGCGCGTGTGTATATGTAACACTGTATTATTCGCTCGTTTAAACTATCTGGATTGCTCGCGCTCGCGTTATCGCAAGCAAATCTCATCAGCTGTAGCACGATTTATTTGTTCATTCGTCTCGTGTCTCCTCGCATCAAAATACGGATAACAACACATTCGCTCGGACGTGATCACATGTCAGCTGAATCAAAAAATGCGTTTTCTCGGTGCGCAATTTGCTCATGCGGGACATTCCTGTTCATCAACAAGTCGCGCAATAAAGAACGTACAGAGGTAAGAATTTTTAGGGATTGTAACGGTACCCTCGAGCGCACTCCTGGGGATCACGGGCGTTTTAGCGCGGTTTCCGTGCATGTGTTCCAGTTATTCAACGACGCGGACATTACGTAAACTGACATTTTCGCGGCTAATACGAGCGAGCGATTCCAGCTCGGGACCAATGAGTTCAGCGGCGATAACGCGTGGCCTGCCACGTTCTCGCCACGCGAGTAACGTATTTCAAACAAAATCATCATTTCGATCGAATTGTTCGACCGCGCGAAAGCGTGCAATCGGGGCTTTTCATCCGATTCCGCTTTGCGATATTCGCAATCGTTCAGTCGCACGCAACAATCGTCATCACACGCGCAATTACAAGGCGCGCGCGCGCGCACGTTGAGTCAAGCGAATCTAATTTAAAGGACATTAGCGGGTAATTTTATTGCGATTACGTGTCATGTTAAGCCTTTGAGTGATGGCGCGTCCTTTTAGTTAACGCGATAAAACTTGCGCGTGTTGCGCATGTGGGCGCAAAATAAATACTCGAACGCCTACGTTATTTGTATTTAATATCAGAGGTCACATATGCGAAAGAAGAGACGAATCACAATGATTCAACTTGGATGTAATCACAAATTTAAAATAAATAAAAAAGAAGATTAATTGCGTTTTCTAACACGTAGTTTTTAGTCTGTCCGTTCAACGCGCGCACGCTTTGCCGCCAATATTCCTATTCCTTGAAGAAGTGGAACTATTCGCGCGCGAACTATTCAAATAATAATCCGTCAAACTTACCCACTCTCGACGCCACCGCCAGTATCAGCACCACGCTGCTCACGATTATCATCTTCCCTCGTTGTCGTCCTCGGGTTGTGGCTAATGTGAAATCACAATCAGAATTTCGAAAAGCGCGACTTTGTCGAGACTGGGATATCGATGTTGGGCGTCGATGTTACTTCTCACACCGCGACTGTGCACCGCGCGCGCGAAGAGAAACCGGCGCGTTTCTCGACCGTGGTAATCGCGCGAATTCGCTCTCTCGACGGAATCCTCCGAATTCGGTCCCGCGTTCGGCGAACGCGGACTGATTCCAAGCGAATTGTCACCGATTAATTTTCTCTTCTTTCGCTTTTCTCTCGTCTCCAACCGCGGCCTATCTACGAAAGCCGCAGCAGCAATGCGCCGTCGTCGTTCAGAACCGCGAGAGCGCCATGGACGTCGCAAAACATATGCTACGGTCACGAGGAGAGAAAGGTGACTGCGGGTGTACGCGAGGTGTGCTCGATACCTCTTGTATTTCTTGGCATAGTCACCTTTCTAGCGCAGCGGCACCGAAGAAGGGAGTTTTGGTGTCGCCATACCACCACCCGCGTATCTCGCCACTACCTCCGGTCGACGTGTTCACGATCGCCGGGAATGGGGAGTGGGGGTTGATAGTGGTGGACGCCTTCAACGACTGTTTAAAAAATCCTTCCTTGAGCTTTCTTTTAGCGTGTATATTATTAAGCATTCTCTCTCTCTCTTTCTCTCTCTGTTTCCCGCGAGGAAAAATAGGGTTGCTCGTTGATAAATCCAGTTCGAGAATGGCTTGCTTATTGCACACATCTTCGGATATATGATAAATATCATTCAATAATTCAGAGTATAATAATCATGATAATCGCATGTGATAATCAAATGTAATTACCGTATCATATAATTATCTTTTATCTTAGCGTAAAGAAATATTACTGATACGCAAATATATATACATATGTGTTGTGTATTTATCTATATATATATAGTTATATATATATATAGTTTTGTACTTTGAATAAAAGGAGTTCGCTGGCTAAGATTTACAATGTACTTTAGTCACATAGAGAAGCAATTTGTACAAAACGGTTTATTTTGTCCCCATATAAAATGACTAATACTATATATATCTTATTATACGTTACGTTATTCTTGCGCAGTATGTACGATATATATGGAACATGTTTAACAAATTGGAATTATCATTATACATCAAATAGAATCAAAATATCGATGGCCATCATCATAAAACTCTCTTCCTCGCTCACGACGATCAGTCAGATAAATATTGGAACATTGTACGGGATTTGTTTGCGAAGGAAATTAACAAGTTGATTTTATATATATATGTATGTCCTAGATACTAATGTAAAAATTATTTATCAATTGATATGAGTCAAATATAATAAAAAAATAGATATATAATCCCCACTGTCGAAATTATTAATAAACAATGATTGCATATATTATATATTATTAAAAGTATAACAAATATGAGAATTGTTCAACTAATAATTTTGCTTTTGATTCAAAACATATACGTGCACGTCTTAAGTCATCAGAAATTTATTATGCAGAAATATTTTATAGAAATTATCTTTACTATTTTCTTCCAATTATGAAACACACAATAAATGAAAATTATATATATCACAACATACAGTTTATACAGCTTCCGTCTTCAGAATACGTAGACGAACACATGTCATATTACACTTGTTTTTTTTTCTAACCGAAGGATTAGGATACATATAATTTCATTCTTTTACCTTAACAACATATATCGGTGTAAACGACTAGATATTGTTGCGACACTTTGATAGAGAAATCGTCCTTCTAAACGTTCCTGAGAGAACTCGGCAGTATATCCGAATAAATACGTTATTAAAGAAGTAGGATTTTAAATGCAGTTGCAAACGTAGAAAGTATAGTCTGTAACGAATAAAAGCGTTAATTGAAAGGAAAAAAAAAACAATAAAGAAAAAAATTGATATTAATTGTTTCAATAAAAAAGCCTAAATGATTTACAATTATTTTTTAAATATAAACACAAATGCTTTTGACTTTCTCTCCGATACAAATATTGATTGACTTTTACATCATCACTATCAAAAAGCACTTGACAAAATCTATTCTAGATTTTTTTCCCGATCTTTTTACATTTTTCTAATCTAGAGAATAATTGTACACGAAATATATATATATATTTTTGGATAGAAAAACATTCGCAAACCTTTATGATTAAAAATATTATTATACATACAAATGATATTTCTGCAATTTTTATTTCAAGATATAGAGTATCTACAATTTTAGAGAAAATTCTGTAATGATATACGAGTGAAAGTTCTTATACCACCAAGGATAAAAATTTGTCTCTACAAATATTTCCAAATTTTCTCTAAAGTAGTAGATACTCTGAAGTATCGAATAATCATTGTACAAAGCGCGTTTGACGGAAACATTTGATTCTTCCTTCTATATTATCAAATCACATAAACACTGATGAATGACCGGTGTAAAAAGTTCAGGTGTGTTTGTCAACTAATTTGTTAAATAACATTTCCCTTCGTCAATACCTATAAAACGATTTGTATTGATTTGTACAATGAAATATTGCCCCACAGCGGATCATAGTCATGCAAAACATCATCAAATAAAAACGCGGCATCGTTACAATTCTACAAGTTTGTACAAAATGATTTTCAAATAAATCGCTGGAAATTACCACGCGTTCTTGCTGAATTACGGACTTTGATTTACTGCCCGACACCGATAATCTACTATAACGTAGTTCTCATGTAAATGCATTTCCTCGCACATTTACATGCACTCGCATGTTAGTGACGCTGTATGATAACAGTCTGTTTCTTTTAGCTGCACTTTCCCAACATTCTATTTCTATTTCTTTTACCTGTTTCCCCTTCTAAAACCGCGCGGATATACATATCCGTTCTATTCAACATAGAAACAACAGGTGCGTCAAAAGAGACAGATCCTAGTATCATATCATAAAGCGTAATTCGCATATTGACATACAAGTGAAAAATTAAATAGCTGCGTTTAATCGAGAGGTGTGTACACTTCTAATTACTAACTAGTTCAATCTGCCTATATTTTTTGCGCAGATTGCTCACGGAGTCTTTGAACAAAACAGGATCCAGTCGCATATTAGATCGCAATAGAGGCATATATCCGAATACAGCGACAAATGTGTTCATGCACGTTTGTCGCTGTATGAAATGATCTGGGTCGTTCCACGGGGATCTGGAATGCACACATATCATAAATATGACACTGATGTTGCGCACATGGCTGCAACGAGATAAAACTTACCTGATTCCGGCTACCGCGGTGTCTTTGTACAGCTTGCGCTGCGTCACTTTGATGGGCGGTCTTCGAGTCACGTGACTTACCAGAAAATTCATCAGTATATCTTCGCAATTCTGCGACTGTTCCACAGTTTTGTGAAGAGTCGAGCTTAATAATTCGGTATACAAAGTATTGTAGTAGCGATGATAAAAAGCAGCACCAGTCAGAATGATACTGTAGTCATTTGTCCATTTACTCGTGTAACCCCAAGAACGCTTAAAAACGGACCGGAAATTTTGTTATAGAAAATTGTCGAAAATTAAATAACAGTCATTTATTGCGAACTGTGCAAGATTTACCTTTGAGTCATCCCAATAATGAGATCTCGCTGGATAGCCTACTATACGATCGGGAAACGAACGCCAAACCGTAAAAGCGAAGTCGATCTCGTCGGTGTTTAGAGTAGCATCTTCATCGAGCGATAATATGGCACTAGTTTTGATTAATGGATGCGGATAAAAACGTTGGGATATACCGTCGACTGCGACAACGTTAATTGACGCTTTGATACCCTGCCAACGCGGTTTTCTTGGCACCGGGATATCCGAGTTCCACATAAGTATTATCTTGAGTGAAATAGTATGTTATAAATAAAGCCGAGAAGAGATATCACACAAATAAGAAAATATGTTAGCATAAAAAAAATTTAAATAACATACTTACTTTATCTAGATATTTGCTTTTCGAAAGACTCTTAAGCAAGCGATAAAGAACAGCAGTAGATCCCAATTGCGAATAGATTATGGCAGTGAAAGTATTACCAGGATTACTGTTTGAAAAAGGAAGTTCTTGCTGACTGTCAGCAAACTGCGGTAAAATAGCAAGTGCCCCAGGATTGGTATTCCAGACAATTCTTTCCCGCGTACCTTCCCATGGCAAACGTTCGCGAATATTCTATAAATTGTTACAACGATTAAAAAACTGATAATCAAATCCTTAATAAATCGTCATAAGAGCAAGCATTTACCTCGAATACGGTAAATACAATTTTCTCAATGGACGAAAAATATCTCTCCCATAAAAATTGTGTCTGTTGTCGTAATTTAAGAATTTGTACATTGGACACAGACCGTACTATATCTGGAATCTATGAAATCAGGCGAATATTACATTCAATTTTTTAAATAAACTTTGAAATGTAATTCGAGTGCATTCGCATGTGTCGACTTACTTGAAGTAACAATCTCTCATCGGAAAATATGACAGCCTGAGTCCAATCGATACGTTCGTGAAAAGGAAGAGCCCAACCATTACTTAAAATAACTGGAATACATCCTGCTCTCAGAGCTTCCAAAAATCGAAAGCTGCCTAATCGTCGCCCTCGCGGAACAAGACAAAACGTAGCATTCATTAACAAAATTTCATAGTCATATCTGTAAAAAATTTAAAAAATATAAAATTATTATTATTTTTTAACAACTGATCGAAAGAGTTTGAACAGTTTGTTAATAATACTTACGTATCATATTCCTGATTATCTTGCTGACAGTGTTCATCTTGCAATTCTCTCCAAGCTTTACCATGACGACAAGTTGTAACGAACACCAAATCTTTGCCGTTATGAAGATGATAAAGAGCATTTCTTGTCTCAGATCCAATACCGTGCACATATCGCTTTCCCTTAAAAGCTGCCACGTATTTCTTATTGTTAGGAAAATTATTTTCTAATGCCTGTCCAGGTTCTCCACCACGTTCCGGATGTTGTTTGCCAAACAAAGGTATTGAAATATCAAAATCCGGTCTGTGTCTGAAGATGGACATGCTGGCTTTAGCTAACATGGCATAGCCAACATCAAAAGCCAGAGATTCTTCCGCATAATCTGGCCACGTGCCAGAATACAAGTTAAATATCAAGTGATTTCTTCCATTGTTCCAATATGGCAGATGCATCAGTTTGGAGGGTAAATTGTGTACAAATTCAGTGGATAAAGGATCCCTATCTAATGTATCCAGAGCTAAGACAAATATACATGCCCTTGATGGGTCTGATGTGTAATATCTCGACTCAGTGATAACATTTAATATTTTTTGGTATAATGGACTTATCACATCCTCAACAGGGTATACATATACAGTGAAACCATGCTTGCATCTTGTAAAGTCAAAGCAAGTTTCCATGCGGCACTGTCTCGTACGTTGAGACATAGCAAACGAGCCACTGGATGTCTTTAAATCTTTGTCATAAAACTCTTCATTTAGACTTATATATGAAGGCAATCGCTCATAAGGCAACTGAGATTTGCCTGTCCACTTTTCGCTTTTTAAACGATATCCACCAAAATAGCAGTAACCAAGAAACGCACATGTTACAAACAACAGTAGATAGCGTTTCTTGGCTTGCATTTTCAATACAGTCAGGTTATACAAAGATATATAATAATTCTAAACATTATTTTTTTTCCAATAAATGTGTAAAAGATCTACACTTAGTCACAAGCACATTATATCAATTACTTATGTAGATCAAAAGTTCTTCCAAGATACTTTTGTTCTTTTATATTGCTGTAACAATAAAAAAATATATTACATATTAAGCACTTTTCTATAAACAAGCAGCTGTATACATATGTATATAAATTCAAATAACATGAATATGTACATAGATATAAATTCAAATAAAAGTCTGTTAGCACCAACAAAACTTGTATTGCATAAACATGTAACAATATTATTGTATTACATATAAAATTTGAGTTTTAATATTCACAAACTAAGCATCTTCTTCATCGACAAAGGGAAACCGATAATAAAGTGAGAAAAATTTTTACCTGTTAGTGAAACCAGGACAAGGGATAGCTATTGACAGGAAGGATTCGAGTGGCTTGATCGTCGCAAGGTACATGACGGACTGGAGCGCAAACTGATATGCCGTCGATAAATCTCTCACGTCGCTTCTCTACGCACAGTACTTTGTACACCGATACGCGTCGTCGCGTGTAATAAAGTGACGGATGATGTAAACTGTGTGCACGACGGTTCGAATTCTCGGAAGATAACCTATAAACTGTACGATCCAACGGACGTTGCGCGGCCAACGATCACGCCGAATTTCCACATCGCTGACAAATGGCACGTACAGACGCCGCGATTCATGACGATCTCGACACGACGTATATCTATTTACGGGCGCGCGGTCGATGCGTCGATTCTTCTAGGTTAGTTGTGACGACGCGCAGCAATACCGTCGGGCCCGCCGGCGATTTTACGCCCACTCGCATTTTCGGCCGGTGTCGGTGGACACGCGTGACATTGATCGGCGACCGTTCGCGAGTGCAAAATCATTGCACGCTCCGACGTATTAAATAATTGGTCTGAAAATGCAACGCGAATTACATGCGATGACGTTGAGAACGATTATAGACTGACAAATCGCTAAACACACTTGACAACTCGCTTCGCGTGCGCAGCGACAGCTGTCACCAGCTGCCCGGAGAGCGAGTTTTGCCGAGACAAGGCGAAGCAACGCGAAGCGAGCAGCGCAGCGCAGTGCGACGCGCGGGCCGTGTAAATCGCGCGCTTCTTCATCCACTTGTCAAACAATTGCGCGAATAAATAATCTTTATAAAAACTTGTTTTCTTGTTATTACAAGCAAAAACAAAAAACATTTCGCGTCGAATTATTTACAATCTCTATGTCTACAACAAAAATCATACGGACATAGATGACAATGTAATTACCGCAAGCTCCAATCACTGCGTTATATTGAAAAAAAGAATGTGTATTATGAGATGAGAAAACTTCTGAGATGCGTCATTGCAATGCTCTGTGGAGTAATGCAAATACTCGCGTCAACTTCGTGCGTGCACTGGTAATGATATCACAATGGGGCGCAAGGTGGTTCGATATCGCAGAAGCGGATGCGGACAATTTGCAATTTAATAACTATTTCTCATTAGCGCAAGGTGCGAACAGCAAAAGAAGCGTTAAAACAAAAGGATGCAATTTATGCGTTACCCTTCCCGACTTCGTTTAAAGGCCTCTTTGGAGCAACAGATGCACTCGCTTTCGTCGTCTTTCCGGTGACGATCGTGTCGCACTGACAATTGACTACTTTGACAACGCGCAGACGTCGCGGCAAATAAGGAGTTATGAAATTCTTACCTTGACTACGCTCGTTTCTCCTGAACACACGTATATGCACGTAATACACGCTGTTGCTCAACGTCCGTGAACTTATTTTTTGCCGAACCGCAAGGAATTTGTACCCTGAACGATGTGTGTATTTTTGAGCGAAAAAAGAGCGAATGTTTGCTTTTTCGCTCGCCCGTTTCTCGCGCGAATTCAGCGGAATTCTTTCTCAAACAGATCGCCTTACTTGCCGAGATTCGTCGAGCAAAATATACACAACGATCATCATTGAATTCGCTATCTGTTGCTCAACAGTAAAAAAAACACCGTATAAAATTTAATGCACGAGTGCAATTTTTACATCTCGAACGCGATGCAAGTCATCGAAATATCATTTAAATGAAGATGTGTGCGTGTATTAATAACACAGAGACGAACGTATCAATTCAATAAAACGATCTGTATACATATATGTACTCACGCGTAAATAGATCCTTGTGCTCAGGTTAAAAGTCAAATGTGTGTCAACAAAAAAACGGCACACGCGATTTCAAATAAACACGTCAATATCGCGTCTAGAGAAAAAGAACTATTATTTTATGATTATACATGTGAAATCACATGGTAGAGTAGATTACGTAAAAGTGAATACCATCTCACGATAAAAAATGAAATTACAGTGTTACCAACAAAAGAAACGGCATCTCCTCGCGCTGATTCCAACTTCTAGTTTCGCGTAACTGATGGCGTTGCAGTTTACAAATTGAGCGGGCAGTACAAAAACGTGTTTACCGTAGGTCTCCATTTCTTCGATCAACCATGGCCGCATTCGGAAACGTCAGTTTTTGGTGGTTTCGGTTAGGTAAGTAGCAAAAAAAAAAAAGGGACGGTCTGCTCTAGGATGTCGAGTGTCACCGAACGCTTTTTCTGGTGTTTTGTTTGTTTACAAACGGCTGATCGAACGTCATCGACGAAATATCATGGTTAAGAACTACAATGACGAGACAATTTACTCGTGGGAAGATCTTCGTTCATTACAAATTTGATGCGGTTCTTGACGTAATGGTATACATTGTTGAAATTTATGCTCTTACATTAACGGTACAATAGGTTATGACCTTAGCCAAATATGCCAAAACAAACGCGCGATGCCACCCGGTTGGTGGCACTCGATGTCACTCTTTTCGCAAACGACCTCACCCGAGCATTTCCGAACGGTTAGTGCGCACGGTGGTATTTCCGAACGCAGTCTAAATTCTTTCCCCCTGCGAATGTTTTGAGTGCAATAAAGTGCAGTTAGCTGTAAAATCTCATTGAAAATCGGACACGATGTTTTTTTTGTACTCGGATCGCATCAGTTGCACTTCCTACACTTTTATACATATATTGGATAATTTTGAACTGCGAAGTGCGGGAAGAAGCGACATAACGTAGGTTTCAAAATTGTTTTCCAATTTCGCGTTATAGATTTCTTTCGATCTCGAACATACGTAAATTTTAATTATTCTAGGTGTGTTGTAAACTGTCTCGAGACTCTCCTGAGAACGCTCTTCGCTTCGATGCGTCAATAACTTTAACTCGGTGGCGAACAAAGACGCTCTGAAGATGCTCACGCTGCAATTCGGACAATGTGGAAATCAATTGGGATACGATTTGTTCTCGAAGGTATTCGCCGACATACAGAGCACGAACACCGGCGTATCTCACGGTGCCAATTACGAATACACCGAGAAGACGGTCGAGAAATGGTTCGACGGGATCACGACGCGCGGCCACCATCGCGCGAGAGCGATCCTCGTCGACACCGAGGAGAAGGTAGTGAGCAAGATGTACAAGGACGCGAACGCGTCCTGGATCTATCGCACGAACAACATCGTGTGTCAGTCCGGTGGCGGCTCCGCCAACAACTGGGCCTACGGCTACGGAATAAACGGTCGACGTCTGTCGACCGCTGTGTCGGATATCGTCCGACGTGAGATCGAGAAGCTGGATCATTTTCAAGGATTCTTTTTGCTACTCAGTTCGGCCGGCGGCACGGGATCAGGCATCGGAAGCCGCATGGTCCGAGATCTGCGGGAGCAGTACGAAACCAAATCCATCGCGGCGGCTATTGTGTTGCCGTTTACCTTCGGCGAGGTCTGCACTCAGAATTACAATACCGTATTGACGTTGGCCAAATTTTCCGACACGGCGGATCTTTCGGTCCTGATCGAGAATGAGCAGATGCACGCTATATCCACCGATTTGCTGAAAAATTCTAACGCGATGTTACGCGACATGAACAGCATCATCGCCGAGAACTTGCTCGCTGTTTTGCAACCAACCAGCGACACGAAACACAACGTGAACTTCTTGGCATCCAAAGTGGCCGCGCATCCGAATTTTAGATTCGTAACGATCAGGAGTGCTCCTCATACTCCTGAAACATCTCTGCCGTATGAACCTGAGCACGATTGGAACGTGTATGTGCGTCACCTGAAGCAAACTCTTCGAGTTTCGAAGTCGCAACTGGAACTGACAAACGCTCAGCTCAAAACGCCGAATCCTTTACCAAGCAAAACGGCGGTATCTCACGCGTACAGCCCGTGTGTCGCCAATGTTCTTGTCACACGCGGCAAATCTGCGGGGAATGATATAGCGACGAAAGATTTTCGGAAAAAACATTTATATCCGGAATGGCTTACGTCGGATTCGTTTACTCATTTGCATCAGGAACGCAAATTTCTGAACCGGGACAAATTTTTAGCATTGATCACAAACAACTCGGAGATACATCGTTCATTGGATATGTATCTGGAGAAAGCTTGGAACTCGTACAAATGCGCAGCTTTCTTACATCAGTACAAACAGTTTGGTATGGAGGAGGACGATTTCTTGCGAGCTTTTGCAAAAGTCGAGAACGTGATGCAGGAATACAAAAGTTTGAAAGGTCATAATGGAAGTTGAGAATTGGAAAAGTAAGTTTTCTTCGTACAGCTTTGATAAATAGAGAGATTGTTGTTTGCTCCCCCTCGCATAACATATATTTAGTTTTTCTACTGGATTATTATTGTAAAATATATATCAGTTAATATATAGTTTGATTCTCGTATTTATATTTTCAAATATTTATTGGTTTATTTTCAAAAACAAATATAAAACTTCGAGAAGGAGTTTTGCAGGTAAATTTTCTTGAACAAATATGGATTTTTGAAGACTCACCTTCTTCTTTAATGTATTTAACAACATGCGGATTTATTTCTCTTTATAACGTTTCTCCTACGCTTTTTTCCGAGCATACGTAGGCGCTTACGTAACATTCTGAATATCACGGTCACGGTTACTACGAGAAGAGGGATGGGTGGGCAGCTGTGACGTCACTCGGAGATCGACCAGGCTGCGGCTGCGAATACGCGAAGGGGACTTTCGAAATAAACGGAGGAGAGAGAGAGAGAGACAAGCGGTCAACAGGAGAAAGAAGGAACAAAAGCGGGGAGAAACGATACGAATAGAACGATTGTGCTCGCGGAAGAAAAAGCGGGATGAGAGACGAAGTCAATTGTGTATATTGGTGTTCGAATTCCTGGCCATCATGCTCCTTCGAAACCTGCGCAACCGCGTCCCTGTCTCTCCCCACGTCGTGTTAAAAGTTTGCTTACATGTATGTAGGAATAGCTTTCTTCTGCGCAATGTGCGCGCGCGTTCCTTGGCAAATAGAATCAAAAGACTGATCACACCCCAATTCTTGGAAAAGAGGGAAACATTTCCAGGAACTGCCACTCGCCTCTTCGCCACCCTCTTACTAATCGCGCCAGCTCGAAACGATTCGAATGAACGATCGAGCGACGGAATCTAAGAAAATAAACTGACTCCGAAACTCAATCTTTATATCCCGCAATATTTTTTCCCGCGTTGTTTTTCATAGATAGAACGTGAATTTAATTTGCGAAAATCTTACAATCGAGCCTTGTGCGTTTACATTGTAACGTATCAGCAAAGTTACAATAAAGATTCAAACGAGAAAAATTTTATTCTATATTTTTTTCTTCTAATGTGATTCACATTGTTTTAGATTCGCTTAAATGTTGAATTCAGAGTGATTAGCGTAGAAACGTCAAAACGAGACGCATAAATTCAAGAGCAGCGAAAGCTAAAATACTGATTTTGGATTGTGAAAATCGCGACATCAGATTTCTGGATTTTTTATTGTATGTATACACAAAGTTTTTCCGGATCTTTGCAGGACGCGACTTGGATAGCGAAGAGGCGTGGTTTCGGCTGCGCCTAAGGAACCTGTTCATTTCTTCTCCGTCGCTGCGTCTCTCCGCGCGTCCGCAACGATGACGTCGGAGGCGAGGGAGAGATTGCGGGAGATTGGCGGCTCTCTTGTCTGTGTGTTCCCACACCGTCTCTCTCACCGGACAACCCGACCAGGCCGCGCTCTGGCGTCGGAGTAGCGGGACAATGACGCACGCCATTTTGTCCAGTGCCCGTCGAACGCGTCGCGCGTCGGGGTGTTGTGTTGGGGTTGTTCGCGCAGTGCAAGTGAGCAAACCTTGCGGAGTGAACTGAATCGGAATCGTGCGATAATAACGAGCGGGCGCTCGTCGTGCTCGGCTCGTTGTGGGCCGGTGTAATATGTATTACGTGCTCTACAGACTCGTGCCCGTGGCGACGACGTCCCGCGCGACTAGAGACTACATCTTCGCTGACTGCGGCGAGCCGCGAAGACGACGGATGTAGCGTCGCGGCAACGACGACGACGACGCCGTTCAACACAGACAAAAAAGAGCGGATGACGTGAATGACGACAATCTCGCGTCCAGTCGGATCCCGTTAGCACGGAGAGCAACGTCCAGATGCAGGTGAGCACACACACTTGAAGCGGAATAGCGCGCCGCTTTCTGATCGATAAACCGCGCCGCCGTCTTCTCTCTTTCCCGTTGTCTTTCCTTCTCGTTTTCTCCTACTCTTTGGAGGGACAAGTGCGTCGCACTCACCCCCATCCTTCGTCACCGCGGGAAGGCTTCATGTTCGGCGTCGCCGTAGAGAGTTTCGGTGCGTACGCGCGACGCGAACGATAGGCAAGACTTACTCGCGAATATCCGTTCGCTTGTGCAAGTCGAGCTCTGAGGAAAGTGAAAGCTTGCCTCGCGACCGCGTCTATTCGTCTCGATTCGCAAAGGACCGCTCGTTTTCTGGCATGTTATATTTCTGTGTGTGTGTGTGTGCGTGTGTGTGTTGCGTTGAGAACGCTACAATATAGATGTTCAGATGTTTTATTTTCCAGATTTGCAGTGAAAAAAGAATGAAACGACTAAGTCGGATTTACATCGATCGACTTCGTTGTTGCAAAGATGACTATAAATTCTTAATGACTTAAGAGTTGAATGCGTAACGGAGAATACATCGAAAAAAATGACAAAATGTAAGCAAATAAAAGAAAGCTAAGTTTTTTTTTTTAATGAGAAGGTAATATTTTAACAGAGAAAGTATTGATTATGTCGAATTTAACGCCCATTAGTATTAAATGGGACACTAATGGCATTAAGTTCAAAATGGTGAGATAAGTTAATTGCTATTAAATGTCCAGAAGCAGTTGATTCTCAGAATTGCACATTTATAGATAATTAAATAATGCGATATTTTACATAATTGTTTTAATTTATTCAAAAATATTAACGTCAGTATATACGCGTGTAAGACGTAAATTAAAAACGCGAAACCGCGAGAAATGCCAGCCTTGATAGTTGCGACCAATAGCGGCTTATTGTCCCTGGGACTAGTTCTCGAAAGTAGATCGGCTCGTTACAGGCTGTTGCCCGCGGGGCATCGCCATCACTGGCTAGTATTGACTGGTGATTTCAATGCCAGGATGTACGCGCAGCAGAAAATATATAACTATAATACTATCCTTTAAAAAGATCGGACCTAACGACGCGCGTGTTTATTTACGAGCGTTCGAAAGGGGACGGCTTCATTCATATGGCGACTTGGTCCGATCGATATTACACTCCGGACAAACACCGGAGATACTATTTCCGATTACGCTCGGGTGTATATTTTTGTCTTACATCTTTTTTTCCCTTCTATCTTTACACGTACGCAAAAGCGCACGTATTGCAATTAGGATTACACGCTTCGTTTGAATGTTTTATTGATCTTATACAAGGTTGAATTTTTACTTTTAATGCGTTCGACGAGGAACTTTCTTTATTTCATTCACAGTAAGATTTATTTGTCAGGCTCGAAAGTTCCGAAGAAAAGTTGGAATTTATCTTTCGCACGCAACAAAAAACATATAGTTGATATTCGAGGAAATTATTACAGCAAAAGATCAAAATAAAAAGTAACGAGTATAGTTTGCGTGAGCACCTGATGTATAATACGCACTGTTCGAGTCCGCGTTCCATCTATTTTAACGACATTGTAAATAGATTTTTATCTCTTTTTTATCTTTTACCTTTTTCTTTCGCCGCTTTGTCCCTGAAACTTCGTCAGCTCGACTATCTGGGGAGCAAAAGTTTGCTCTTTTGTGTCAAAACCACGAACGGTAAAGTGCGCTTCCTTGTAGAATGCCAATACTTTTCAAATGAGTCTTCACACGGTGCATTATAATTAATAATAATAACATGTTTCCGATTATCTACGATCCGTATTCGGACTCGAGACGTCTGTAAACTTATAAAAAAAACGGAAGTTATTTTTTTCCTGACGTTAATATTCATAAAGTTTGATTTTCTGAAAATTCTTGCAAAACGCCAGGAATCTATTTTCTATCGTCGTCTCTTACCGGGGGACCGTCTTAATCTTTTGAGCAGGTAGCGAGCGGTTCTCAAACAACTACATACAATTGACTAAAACGAAAGAAAAGTTTTCTAATCTATAAAACTGTCGTTTTATAGAAAATTTTCGTGAGGAAACGTACCTGTTAGATACGTTTTATTTTTATTTTTGATCTTCACCCCCAAGTCTTTTGAATAGGTAAAGAGAGATAGTGATTCTCAAAACGTGACTATGAATGTAGAATTATGTTTGACGCAGTCTCGTATGACTGATCATAAAATGATTTATAATCTTTTTGTTCGTTTGTTTTTAGAAAGTGCCGCACAATGTGACATTCTCGTATAGATAGATGTGTAAAAATAACAGACTGGCATATGCGATGCTACTATATTTTTAGTCAGATGGCCGCATGCGAGTTATATCTGATCGAAATTGCAATTCATATCGAATGCAGGGTGCATAGAATTAGAACATAGGAAGGGTGACACCCGGTCTCGTTGAAATTCACGACTGAATTGGCAATTCTAGAGGACATTACATAGGGGAGCGCGGTTGCTCTTTCCAAGTATACACACTCATCCCGTTCGCGTTTTAAAATTCTTTTTCGCTCCAAACATTTCATTTCATATTTTTATTCTCAAGATACATTTGATTTGTAAACAAATTAAAACTATTAAATATGATATTAATTAATATAAAATGAGCAAGATGTCGAAAACGAATTAGTTTCGCGCAAGCGTGCTCAAGGTTGGTTTCAAGGGTTGCCGAGTTCAAGTAACCTGGACAAGACTTCGATCCAGGTATTCACAGGGTTAATCGGGGGCACACCTACGTATGACTCATAGAAGAGAGTTCCTGGTTTCTCATCCCCTTCATGTAAGAGGGATGTGCGTGAAACGAATATTATGTATACAACTCACTTTTTATTTGCTGTGGTAACTTATGTTCTGAACTTGTAAAACTGTAATTATCGTTTCAAAATCTATTTGACGATTGGTACTAAAATTGATAGTAAATTTGAATTTAAATTTTTTGTTTAAGAAATAAAAAAAACATATATATACATACGTGTATATATTTAAATAAAACTGTCCGATTAATGTTTATTTTTTCATGTCTATGAAATTGTGCCTTAACTTCGTATAACTCTTTGTTGCTTTGAGAACAGCTTAATTATTGAAAGAAATGCGCAAATAACAGGAGGTCGAGAAGATCTGAGGGGTCTAAGAAATGCGAGTGTAAAATAAAACAAAATCGTGCTAAGGTTTGGTATGCGGACGGATAAATACCATACCTCTTACTAGATCGGCATTCCATTAAACCTCTGGCCGCCTTCCACTCCGCTTCTCCTCCATAATAGGCATTAAACCAAAAGGTTTAGGCGTCTCGCTTCGATGTGGTAACATTAGCGTTTCTTGATGTGATTGATAGATATGCGAGAATTATATTTTTAACCTAGGAAATAGTTTTTTTTTAAATGAATCATTTTCTATGAAACTCTGATCTTATTATTAGATAACATCTTGTATGACATAATACAAAATTCTGATTTTTACACATTACACTTAAGAGAGATAAGATTACATACATTAGTATGCACCGGATAGTGAAAGGAATGCGAATGTTTTGATTTTAGATGTTGCAGTAACCCGACGGCACAACGGCAAGAATGCATACTCCTGCTGAACCCACAGAGACTCACACACAGTCGAAAATGTATAATCTAGAGAGTGAGGAAACGGGAACGTCCGCGGGCATGAGTGGAGTAGTTCTTTCGTCACCCAATCCGGAGGTTCATATATTTACCAACAGGTAATTTCTTCTTTTCTTCAGTCTTAATTTTAATTTTGTAGATTTAATTACATTTTATTTATTTTTTTGTTTTTACTTTTCTTTTGTTTTGTGACCTTTATCATTATTGGCTATAATACAAGTTGGAAGAGTTTGGTTTTTTCTTGTTTTTGACAGTCATGTACTTAAGGTCAAAGTGGGATACTTCAAACTCCCAGAATTTTTTCAGAAATTGTTAATGATACTTCGAGCACTCCATTTGCATCCCTTCTTTCCTCGAAATAAAGCGGGAAACTCTTGTCTACAAGTGTAAAGTTTTGTTCCGTCGAGGCACTAACTTTTCGCACATGCATGTATGTACCTATGTATATAAAATTCGAAATGGCGCGCGCATTATGATATCTGTATCGCGCGTTGCGTACGTGCGCCGTCGATGCGCTATGGATATGTAACGAACAAGAGATAGATCCAATAACAAGAGATAAAACGAGAAAAACAGTAGGCGCGAGGAAGACAGAAAGAGAAAGAGTAAGAGTGAGAGAAACGAGATAAGGCCTCGTTCGTGTTCGCGTCACGTCGCGTGGTTGGTCGCAATCCCACACTAGTATTTCCACGCCAGTAAATGAGTACGCTTCATTGCGAACTTCTGCCTCTTGAAAACGTACACTCGGTTTACTGCGACGACGACGTGCGGTGTCGTCATATTGCTGCGTCCCCCGGTGTCGCGTCCATATGCTACACGCGGCGTGGTGATGGTGTTGGCGCGATTCTTCCTCAAGAAGCCAGTGGCGCAGCAGAACAACGGCGGCGACGGTGGCGGTGACGCCGCCGTCGTCGTCGTCGAGAATCCCGTCACGCTGGCAGCCGGCGATGTGGCCAGCAACGCCACGAAAAAGAGGTAGGCGGTGGATTCTCTTTCTTTCTCTCTTTCTCTCCACGTCGCTTCTCCAGAATTTCCTTGACGTGAGAAAATATGAAATCAAATTACCGCGTCTGAACCAAACGCGCTTGCTTGCTCGTAACGCGATCCTGATAACAACGCGCTCGCGCCTCATTTCGTCATTTCGTCGTTTTACAGCGGAAACGTCGTTCTTCGTTATTATGTGCTCCGTGTTTTCAATATTTATCCTTCTGATCGATCGCTAATTCTCAGCTCTGGATCTTTTGCGTGTCACGTCTCGCTCGCGTATCACTTGCTCCTAGAGAGAATACACTGTGTTTCAAAAAGAATAAGATGCTTCTGAGATGGGAGATCTTCAATTTATGCGTTGTTGATTTCCTCGCGCATTTCTCACGTACTTTAGAAAAATGACGGTGTTTCTTCTCCTTACTATTTGGTGTCTTTGATTTGTCTCGGTCAAAACATGAAATTTTTTGCCTGTTTCGAGAAAGGTTATTGTGCCCCAAAGAAGATTTCACACACGTCTTTTGAACGTGTTTATCAATTGTCTGTAATTTTTTACTGCGAAGATTTTACGAAACAATAAACATTCCGAAGCGAGAGTTGTTTCAGTTTAGTTAAAAATAAAATTGATGTGTGTTTCATGCGAGTGCATTAACTTTTGATTTATTTCGTTATTTTTTTAAATCATAACTCTTGGCTGTATATAAATCTACGCGTCGCTTGAAAAAAACAATAGTGGAGTTTTTATACATATGTATGATGCTAAAAATACGAATCGCGTTTCTCACAATCGGATGTTTTGCAGAATTAACGAGTAAACCCGCAACTCGATCGCACAAACGCGAGCAAAAAAGACAATATATAAAAATCATATTAACAAACTACAAAAAATAACTCGAGAAATAATGGCAACTGAGACTTTGAAACAAAACTCAACGTGTTTAACGGTTTATCATGTAATACTTTTCCATTATCCAAAAAGGAAATTGATTATTTTTGAACTTATCGCACTTTGCAATGGAATCTGTCAATTCGTTGTTAAGGCATATATTGTTTACGGCGACAAGCGCGATCTTCTTCTCATTGACTGACGCCAGCAGACAGCTGATACGAAGGCCACGATATAAACGTGCATGCACGTAAGTACACACTACATACATTTGCGTGATCGCTGTACATGCTGCGTATATGTATGTTAGCTCGCGCAATGCACGTTAAACGCCATTAGGTCTCTCTCATACATACGTACCAGGATAAAGAAAGATTGTTCCAAAGAAGGCGATCCTTTTCTCTTAAAAACACCGATCACGACGTGATACTCTCTCAAGGCCGCTACTATTTGTGATTTCAAGGCTATTTTCACTCCTTCCTTAAACGGAACGAGATATGTATCTCTCTTATATGGGGACCACACTTTTGCAAGTGCGGACCCAGCCCCTTTTTTTTGGACGAATTCGATTACACCAACTTCTTTCGCTCATCTCAGCGGAAAAGATAGAAAATATTTTGTTCTTTTCTCGTTCTCATTGAGTTTCATTCTTCTTATCTTCACTCGTTTAAATATTTCTCCAAACGGAAAACTAACTGAAGTGGATATTTTCTTAACTAGACTGGAGTTATTTTTTCTTGTTCGCCACAGTGATATGTTAAAGCGCATAAAGATACCGCATAACATTCCACAATTAATATAACTAGCAACTCTGTCATCGATTAAGCACGCGGCGTGATAACGTCGGCGTGTGAAAATACAAGCCGTTTCTCTTTTGATATTTTTTCTTTTTCACAGCGCAATATTGAAGACCTGTTCTACTTTTAACTACTGTACTTATCTGCGTATCACTTGTGTGTGTTCGGATAGAACTCTCAAGCAAAACGGAGCATACATCGGTTATCAATAAAATTACATGTATATATATACACACACATAACAGCTGATAGCTAATGCAAACATCAAACTCCAAAACTTGTTTATACTTGTTTATTCGTTTTGTTCACGCGTATAAATTTCTGCTTTACTTTTTGCACATACTGATATCATGTGAGTTCACATATAGCACATACAAATGCATGTATTACCATATTATTCATATAAATTTTGTTCAACGAACGCTAACATTTCGGTCTTCTCTGCGAATTGAAAAAGTCTGTTCGCGAGACACTAGGAAAATTAAAAAGTAGAGTAAGAGCGGTATTATCAAGAGTTAAATTTAGGATATACACTCCGCGGTTGAACACAATCGCGTGTAAAGAGCACGATCAATATCCGCGTTACACGCCTCACATTGTTGCATTCCGTTCACTGATTTGCCGCGATCGCATAACGAACAAAATGCCTGATAACGCGACGCGATATTATCGAAGATAATTTGTGTAATAAAAATTACACCAAAGAGGAGTCTTTTAAATTTTTTGCGGTTAATCTAAAGATAAGATTGAATAAAAACAGACAAATACAAACTAAGCGCCTGATGGAAGAGCGGTAAAAAAAAAAAATTATTAGACAATAAATTCTAAAACGTTTCGGCTACATTTTTAGTTTCGTTCGATCTCGATACACTTATAACGTGAAATAATGCAAATTTACAAATAGGAATAATATAAAAGTAGAAAAATTAAATAAAATATACGCACCAGAAAAATATATAAAACAAATCAAGAATATACCAAAATAAAAAAGTTGAAAACAAAAATTATACTATATACTTTATACTTTCTGTTTTTCTTTTATCTCTAGTTTATTGTAATTTGAAAGAGTTATAATTAGTGAATTGTTGAGAGAAAAGTAATAATCGAAGTGTTAAAATATCACCAAGTTTTTATTTTTTTAAAATATTTTTTAATTTTTTTATTTGTTTTGAGTTGCAACCCGGACAATAATTTTCTTCCGGTAGTAATGAAAGAAAAAAAAATTTCTCACGCGCGCTTACCAGATGTATTAATGAGAGATAAATACGTTCGTCAGTGTGTGAAAAGTCATTGACACAAACGCAAACCTCTCGACACGTGTAACCTTGGAAAAAACGCTGTGAGCGAAAACATAAACGTACGCTATTTCTAATAGAGTCTTGCCTTTAGGCAGCGATGGGTAACAATATTATGCTCCAAAAACAAAAAAAACGTAAATATTTATAGAAAAAAATACTAAGTGAAAAAGAATATATTAGTAAGTATTAGAAAAAAGAAATTTTGTCTTGATTGATTAAGAATTTTTTCTTCTTTTTCTTATTGTATATAAATTACATTGTATTTGGTTAACTGATAGTTGATGTTCAAAGAGCACCGTAATTCGATAAGAAATCAATATTTGTAATAATGTGTTATTATCGCGCACGCGATATCTTTCACACGTGTGCGTGTGCCTCTCGCATAGAATATAATAAAATATGTACATACGTATGAGTGTGAGTTTCTCACAAGTGCACACAGAATACTTTTATCTCTTTTATGTAAAACAATGAACTTGGCTTTTATCCGCAACCTGCATTGATATTAATATTTACGACTTACATTGGAATTATTACTACTTGGCAGTTTTAATGAGATTTAAACGCAACTGTGATGTGATCAAATAACGCCGAATAAGTACATTTATCGGCGTACAAGACAGTTTGTCGATATCACCGGCACGGCGTGACGTGTGACATATATGTCGTTTCTTATCGTTCATCGGACTGTACAAAGATAAAATTACGAGCGATAAATTCATGTTTTCTTTCAATACAAATTCTTTATGCAATTTATACAAAGATAATGGAAATTTCTCCCGCTTTCTCTAGTGTCCAATAATTATTAATTTTATACGCAACATTTTTGCGACATTTATGTTGTACAAATGGCAAATATAAAGAATCAGATTTGTGTTAAGATATTTTACATCAGATATAAGATGGTATGAGTTTCGAATTTTTAGCATGCTATGTATCCAAGAAGAACTCGCACAATTAAGTGAAATCGCGGGAAGTCCCGAAAGGTTGGTCACTGAGCTGCGAGAAGTTCAATTGGCAAATAGCAATCATCATAACTCCGCGAGCAACAACAGCGCAACAAAATGCGCAACCGGACCGGAAAGTATCGATTCCCAACGATCGAGTTGGCTCGAGGGCATAATCGGATGCATGCGACCTGTATTTTCCATGCTATCGAAAACCGCTATTAACGAAAAGATCAAGATCCTTTCAAGTAAGTCATGTAAGTTTCAATCTATTTTATATGATTTTCTTTTCACAAGTTTTTCTCTTTTTGGTTTAATTAAAACTTTTTGCGATGATTAATGTAATGCGCTTTTTAGACGCGGATGATTGGGAGATATCTTTTGAAGACATTAGCGAGCTGCAATGGCTCGCGTCCGGAGCTCAAGGTGCGGTATTTAGTGGGAAATTAAATAGAGAAACTGTAGCTGTAAAAAAAGTAAAAGAACCGAAAGAGACTGATATACGCCATTTGCGAAAGCTCAATCATCCGAACATTGTACAATTCAAGTGAGTCTTGTCACTTTCGTAATACATTGTTTATGGTATGTACTGTAAGATAAAATGTTCATCTTTGTGTTCGTATTTACAGAGGAGTTTGTACTAAATCTCCCTCTTATTGCATAATAATGGAATATTGTCCTTTTGGACCGTTGTACGATTATTTGAGAAATGGAGGACCGGTTCCTCCAGAGAAATTGGTGTCATGGTCAAAAGATATCGCTGCAGGGATGACGTACCTTCATGCTCACAAAATCATACATAGAGATCTCAAAAGTCCAAAGTAAGTGAATGATAAAAATAGATACAAGCATATTTATCTTCAATGTATGTACAAATTGAAATCTCTTTTCCCATAAAGTTTAGTTCTTTAGTATCATTTTGCTATTTTGAAGTTGTAAATCTCTATCTCTTTTCTTTTTCTTCTTTTTTTTTCTCTTTACAACAAAATTTGATTCGAAACGAAGTCGATTGATGCAAAATGATGTCTCGTAAATTGAAATAGATGGAAAAATTGCAACGGTTTGTATTTGAAATAATAAAATAATTGTATTGCCGTAGCGTTCTCATTGGACAAAACGAAGTAGTGAAAATCAGTGACTTTGGCACGAGTAGGCCTATGCTCGAGAGCAGCACGAAAATGACGTTCGCGGGCACGGTGGCGTGGATGGCACCGGAAGTAATCAGGAATGATCCGTGTTCGGAGAAGGTGGACGTATGGTCGTACGGTGTCGTACTGTGGGAACTGCTAAGCGGTGAAATACCTTACAAGGATGTTGATTATTCCGCGGTGATGTGGGGCGTGGGCAGCAATATTCTGCATTTGCCGATTCCGGCCAGTTGTCCGGAGGGTTACGGACTGTTAATCAGACAGTGTTGGGCGGCCAAACCGCGTAATAGACCTTCCTTCAAACTCATCGAGATGCACCTCAACATCGCATCTGTCGAGGTGCTTGCCACAAAACCCGACGAATACTTCAAAGCACAAGTAATGCACCGCGTTTTTTGCTTTATAGTTATTAATCGAGATTGCAGAGAGATAACAGTAAACGTAACGAGATTCTTTTTGTTACAGCAATCATGGAAGAAAGAGATACAAGAACACATGCAGCAGATACCGGTAGTTACTAATAACGATCCGCGTTTCGAGGCTGATCTGATTCGACGGAGAAAAGACGAATTACGGCACGCTCAGGATATCAGAGAGCACTACGAGCGCAAGCTCGAAATCACTAATCAGTTGTATTTGGAATTGAACTCTATGTTGCTGCAATTGGAGTTGCGGGAGCGAGATGTGATAAAGTGAGATAAATCTCGTAACTATAAAATACATATATATAACGTTATTATGTACGTATAAGAAAATAAGGTATATTGTGCGCTGTTTTAGAAACACGGTACTTGTACTTTGCATCAGCGCAAAGCAATTCCCAAATTGTCGCGTTTTTAAATCAAGAGATATACGTATGCGGTAAAATGTTAACACATTAGGAAATAAATCTATCTGGTTTGTGTTTCAGAAGAGAGCAGCAATCGACGGGATACAAGCAATACAAGAAGCGCTTTGTTCGACCATTATTGAAAGCCCAGGAGAAGCTCTATCGCAAGCAGAACGGAATAGTACGGTTTTCCACTTCTTCGACGCCTACTACTCCACCATCGCCAACAGATCATTCACCGCAGAATCCCGTTAAAGCCACCATGTACACTCAATTGAACGAATCGAATCAACCGGAAACTGTTCTAGCATCGAACAATTCGTACAAACGCAAGTATAGACATCGCAGAGTCGGCTCTGGTTGTGGTCTGAGTTCCAGTCCTAGATCGAGTCCTCATCGCGAAAGAAAGGTGAGATTTGATATTCTATATGCGTCATTTTTTTATATTGACGTTTCGTGGACTAAGTATAATGATGTAATGTTCAATTAAAGAGCACGGAGGTACCTGCAAAATTTATCGATAATCAAACGCAAACGGACGTAATGGACATTACCGAAACAGATCACTCGTTAACACAACCGACCTCGGCGAACAAATGCTCGGCAAACAACACATGCTCGCTCTCTTCGGAAAAGACTTCCTTGGATGCTCTCAACAAATGTTGCCTCCATTCGTGGAATAAACAAACGACGGAATGTTTAAACGGAAATCCAATACCGGAAACATACTATCCGATGCAGATCAGTTCGTGCTCCAGTCCCGAACCTCTGAATGAGAATAACGCGAATGGAAACGAACGTTTGAAGGATTGTAGCGACGACGACAATCTGGAGACCCTCGGTAGAAAAGTTAGCGAGATTATTAACGCGAATCGTCTTATTATTGACAACGGAAATGGCGGTGATGTGATTTCTCACAGGTATCGTATAATATCTGTAAGAATATGATTTATTTTTGTATATTATTCTTAATTAATGAGATAAACATAGTTTTTAAGAAATAAAATATTCACAAGATGTAGTATAAACTCGATTTATTTAAATTTTTATAATAGGAATGAAGAAGACTTAGGTAAATTACCTGGGCACTATGTAGAACAACCCGACATTAAAATGCGAATTACCGCGGACAACGCCACAGACGATCGCGAAGACGAGGCTTGCGAAGAAAGTTGGTCAGATGAAGAAGGAGAAGACCTGAGCTACACGAACAACTATTCCATTAGACGAAGAAGGTATGTTTCATCAGATGTTTATAAAAATATCTTACATATATAATTATTTTTATAATTGAGAATATATTTTTACGTCAAACATTATGCAGTATTGCAAGGAGGCCAATAGGTCCTGGCTGCAGATTACGAAGATCTAAACCGACAACTCTTAAACGAGTACAAGGAGTGTTGGCTTCCGATGAGGAAAATACTTCTGAATATTCACACCCTCCGTCCAGTCAAACTTCCACGTTAGATAGTAACCCGGAAGTTCAAAGGGCTTTTCGTGATATTATACACCAGTCTCAAAAAGTAAGTAAATTAATGTGTTTAATATCGTTAAATTAAATTAGGATTTTCAATATTAACATCTTCGTATTTGTTTACTTAAAGTTTTGTTATTAATGTTTTATGTAATGTATTACGCATATATTAACAAAAGTTGAATTTTTTAATAAATTAAGTATATGGTTTCTATCTCTCTTCCTTCTCTCTGAATAAATTACAAAATAGATATTTTGTATCTTTTATGAGAAAAATGTAAGATAAAAAATTCAAAAAGTATATGTAAAAAAAATTAAATTATTCAAATTTAATTAACTTTAGAGGAAGGAAATAGGGGATCCCTCTGATGCATCGAGCGAATCAGAGACAGACGAAGTCAGTGAAGTTACCATCGCATCTCAACCAGCGAGAACGATGAGCTTCAGAGGATTCGAGAGATTTTAGAGAGATTAGCTATTAATTTTTATATGTGATTTATAATTATGAACAATAGAGTTAGATTTACTGCCTGAGTAAAGTTGAAACATACTTCACTTTGCAATTTATGTTGAATATTGTAGATATTTATCTATTTATATACATACACGCATACATATACATACACATTCATATACATAATGACATATGTAAACACACATTTACACATTACTTCCACATATATAAGAATACATATGCTAAAGAAGTATGTAATATTAGATTTTTGTAATTTAGAAGATCGTGAATTTGAGTCTAATTTGTACAATTCAATTTTTTTTTTTTTTTTTTTGCATCTCTGAAGTGAATGTTATATAGAACCGTAAAAAACAATCTCGATCAATATTTAATCTTGATCATACATACATACATAAATCTGCAAGAAATTAGTTTAACGTTGCTCAAATATCGCGATTTGAGTTACATAATTGATTTTATATCGCGCGTGATGATCATGAAGATCCATAGTGTAAATTTTTACATCCAACAAATCTAAATACTGCTTCGAAGGATTTCGTTTGCAAACGCTGCATATTACTGTCATTCATCAAATGTCTCGCGTCCCAAGAATCACTGGTCATTAGCAAATGTTCTAGAAAGTACGGATGTCCGTCTAACGTCCGTATGTATTTCAAACGAGAAATCGTGTAATATTTATTTCGTTTACCTCATAGCATCTCATTTTTGTGCGTCCTTTTTGGATGCGCTGTGTGTATCACATGAGTCACAAATTTTCATTTGAAATCGTGCATACCCATTGCCATAGAAATAAGTTTTCCCCGCACGTTGAAATTGGAGGCAGCTAACGCGAATGTTCGCGAATGTCCACAACATGTTTTTCCCCTAAATGTATTACTATCTGACGAAAGGAGAGAGTCACACACGTACACAAACACACGTAAGAGTAAAGAAAACTTCTGGCTAAATGATATTATGTATAATGTATTATTCGAGAATGTGTTCTCTTGAAAAAAAAAAAAATAAAAAAAATGATCTAACGAACGATCTGTCGTAACGAAAAAAATGTACAACATAGCGATAAACATACAAATTTTATTGACATAAGTGCCTATGGCAATTTGCATGCATCTACTGTGACGATCGAAGATGTCTAGTGAAAGTTAGAAAATTGATAATATATGCAATTTAGTCTTTGAAGCATGTATTGAAAGATATTGTTGTACCTGTATGATCTTTTATATTTGCTACATATGATATAATCTAATACGAAAGATATTAGATCAGGAACAATGAGAAAAAAATAGAAAAAAATGTAAATTTTCCGAAAACTTCCTATTTACAACAGGAGAAACATTTTGCATCATGTTCGTACATGTATATCTCCAAAAAATGTATATTCATACGTAAGGAGATTTAATTTTTTTATTTTACAGAAAGCCAGCTAAGATCAGAGAGCGTAAGTTTATGGTAACTATGTACTTATTGATTTTTTCAAGAGCTTAAGCATTTATATATAATATATATAATAGTTTATATATAGAAAAGCGAGTTGTATGGGAAAAAAAAAAAAAAAAAAAAAAGAAAAAAAAACAGTTGAATGTAGTGCAGATCACGCGAGTTTCAAAACGAAGCTCAACAATAGTACCGGACTGCACGTGAACCTCATACTCATTCCACATTAATTACCGTTATTATTATTAATAATAATAATAATAACTATTATATTATAAGCTCTTTCATAAAATGCATGTCGACGAATTATTGCGTTCCACTCAATTACCGAAAGAAACAATGTTTTGCATCCATCTATTGTACCTGCTTTGAACTCAAATTGCCTTAATGACAATTATATACATCGGTATCTGTAAATATAGACAATACAACAACAAGAAACTTAGAGAGTAAGAATGAAAAATAGAGTAAGATTTTGATGTGCTCATTTGAACGGAGAATAATTTATATAAGATATATATATAGAGAGAGACAGAGAGAGAAATGTATACTTTGTAGTGATCGTACATATTGTATCCATCATTATGCGAGTAGTTGCATAATAATCGTTCCTTTTTTCGTGGGCAGCTATACAAAACTGACTAGTTCTATTATTATACAATAATAGAAGCAGTACACAAAATTTGTGTTATACATAAAATAAAGTTGATTTACACGATGTTCTTATATTTTCCTTCATACAAATCCAACAAATTTATCCTACTAGCACAACACAGGCGCGCGTTACGCGCATGCTATTGTTATTTTTATTTAACGTGTTGTCAGTGAACACAACCTGTCACCGCGATGACAGATAGTATATACGTCTTATAAACCACATAATACACATATGAGAAATGTCAGAAATAACGCATGAAAATCAAACTCAAAAAATAGTGAGAGAGAGAAGTGGAAAAACAACACGTGACAGGGAAAAGTGTAAAAAAGAGAATATTATATATATTATATGTAATATTCTATATCTATATATAATACACACACATACGCATATATGTATACATATATATATACCGTAATCACGTGACCGAAGTCAGTAACACCGCCGCGGTCGCGCGGCCGAGGTCAGTGACTTCACCGCAGTCNCGCGACCGAGGTCATTGACCCCGCCGCGGTCGCGCGGCCGAGGTCAGTGACTTCACCGCAGTCGCGCGACCGAGGTCATTGACCCCGCCGCGGTCGCGCGGCCGAGGTCAGTGACCCCGCCAAGGCCGCGCGGCCGAGGTCAATGACCCCGCCAAGGTCGCGCGGCGGAGGTCAGTACTATAGTATGTATATAATACATATAATACAATATTATAAATATATAATAAATTATATGTATAATATGTATTATTTAATGTTATATATAATATAAATTACACAGTCACGTTATTTTCACGTGTTGTTTTTCTACTCTTTCCTGTCACGTGACTTTAGTTACGTTTTTAATTTTCTCTACATATACGACGAACTGTCTCAAAATCGCTTTTCATTATTTACTCTCTCGATCTTACCGATTTGATTCGACTCGATCAACCAACCAACGGCAACGCGGAAAAGAGGCAACAATAGGTGCAATATATTCGACTCCAAACGTGCACTTCTCGGTCCAAATGCCTCTTTTAATATAGGAGGATCTATAACGCGTAAATAAATTTATAAATAGTTTAATAAGGAGAGAAATATATGGAAAGCAGTAAAGTTTTAAATAATTTTTAAACATTTTTTAAAATCTTTGCTCGTTATTTTAATTAATTTTATGAACAAACATTCATATTGTATATAGCCGTCATATATGTACACAAGCGATTTTTTTGTAAATACAAAAACGCTAAACTTTGCGAATCATTTTGCACAATAAAACGTCGAATCGAATTTCTGATTGAAAAAAAAGAAAAACGATATTACGACGTGAATGTCTTATCACATGTACATTTAATATTCACGTATAATTTATGAGTCTCACAAGTTTCTACAATTAAGTTCAGTTTCTCTTTACACAAGTAGTTAATTAGATCTTCAGTACATAGCATATCGAAAATTACTTACAGTAGCGTATCAGAGAATTCGACGAGAAACTAATCGTAGAGAGTATAGATACGAGTTGTGTGTGTGCACAACTGATTTTGCACTATTAAATCACGAGTTAAAATATGCACAATCAGTGCATAACTACAAAAATGATGAAAAAAAGCTAACTCTGTACATAAATATACATATAACGTACATATTTTCTTTTCTTACAAATACAATTTATATATATAGATGTAAAAACTTAGAAACCTGTCTGTACATATCAATTTTCTAATGAGAAGGCAAGAGGCATATCTCGCTTGTAATACTTATAAACTGTAAAAACTTGTTGCTCTCTCTGCTTTTGCGGTCTAGAATAGAAACGCGGAGATTCTGAAATGATCACACGAGATTAGTCACATCAGCATAAAAAAAAAAGTTTACAAGTATTTCTCTTCTGCGTTAACACCTGGTGGTAATAATGCGAATTTAATAAATTCTTTTCCACAAGGGAATAAACAGAGATTAAGTTTGAATGAGTAAAATTATGACTGTAGCAATTGTAAATGATAACAATTATCATTACAGGTCGATTCTACCAATAAAATGAATTGCTGAGAAATTCGGTGGTGGATTTATACAAAGAGGAGGCGCTTTGTTTTAAACCAGTAAATAACGATACGACTCCTTCCTTATCATCCTCCTCTTCCTCCTCAGGTAAATAATCAGGCATTTCCTCGCTATCACTGTCTCCTGTCTGTAGCTATAAAACATTTATTATAACTTTATATATAAAATCGGAAATATATAAGAAAGAAATACAAAAATTGCAATACTTACCAGCTTTACAAGAAATTCTTGATTGAATTTATTTCTTGTAACCAGTCTCGCTTCCATGGTATCCGTATTTTTGTCGATCGCTTCTGCGATTTGTTTCGCTGTGACGTTATTTAAGGTGCGCATTGTTACACGCTGGTGTTCCACGTCGACGACAAGAGAAATGAGACCTTCGATTCTTATCAGTATCGATTCCAATTCCGCCCGAGTATCCTGATCAATTATTAGTGATTACATATTATTACAATCACCTCATATGTGTAACTCATTTTTCACGTTCAATTATTAATAGACCAATTGAAAATCCACACTTACCGGTAGCAATCCTTGAACATGTAAAACTATCACATGAGTCTTTAATTTTTTTGGTTCAATGACCCGTCGGCAACGACTGCGTAAATTATATATAGGCGGTTTCATACGTTCTATATCATCCTTGATGTGCTGTGCTCTATTAGCTATCTTTGGTTCGCTCAGACTGTACTTGTTTATAATCGCTTCTAGAGATTCGCGCACGCCAAAGGTGGACGTTATGTGTATGTAATTGTCTACATTTTTAACAAATATCTCGAGAATATCTAAAGCTAACGTGACCACATCCAGATCAGGTACTTCCAGGACGTAGGCTACGTAGGACAGGACCGTTTTGTCCTGCAACATAAATGAGAGAACAATGATAAGAAGCGCGTTTGGGAATTATTTTGCGATCTCACGTACACACAGAGCTAATTTACCTTCAAAATCGTGTCATGATTCGCGAAGTCGTCCGCGAGCTTTCTGTACGTTTGAAGAGTCTCGTGCAGCTCGCGCGGGTCCACGTCTATGGCATCCTCTCCATCCATTATTATCCGTTATGTTGACATAACACGTTGAAACGCACTTGAGATTTTGTTTCCGCGATTAAGTATGAGATTCACTCAGAACTTTTTGCTACACCAAGTATTTGTTTTTCGATTGCGGTCAATTCTCCGGGATCAGGAGTTGTTATTACGCCGAAACGTAACGGCAATACAAATGTAACCTAGAGAAACTATCCTAACCTCAATTCCCGCAAAATCTCGAAACCGTCTGAACGACCAACATTAGACCCCTGTCTCGAATGTCGATGAAAGAGCACAGAGAGCGTCACATTTGGCATTTGATCAAAATCGATCGAGACACGCGCCACTTTTCAGCCACTTTGAGTTTATCGGTCGCCCTTATCGACACCGAGGTGAGATAAAGAAAGTTGACACACACACACACATATACGTATACAGGCCTGAAGCGTCAAAATGATAAACAAAGCTGCTGAAAAGAGCAACGGTGTCGATAACGGAACATGCGGTCGTGCGCCAATTCTTACAAAGAAAATACAATCTCTTATCACTTTGTGAAAAAAAACGAGAAAATATCTAACGACTTTTTTTGATGATAAATGATATTACGCGTACATAGGTAGGGATCAATATGCTCTCACACAGACACTGTTTTTGTCAGCTGTTCGCAGCTGTGCACAGTTTCCGTCAGCTGTAAAAGTCCATTTAAACTTGCAGGAACTGTGCATGTGTCGCGTATGTAAAAAAATAAGACAATCAAAGTCGAAAAGTATTTAAAAGATTAATAAATATTATTTATTTATATCTTAGCTAACACATCTGACAATATATGCACGCAGTAAATAAAACAAACGAATATAGATAATTTTTTAAAATAAAACTTATTTTATTATAAAATATACGCTACATATTTTCTTTGTTAATAAATATCTCAGGATAAGTACCTTCGTACTTTCTAATTGTTAAAAATAAAAACAGCGCGTTACAAATATATAAATGTAACGCATGCGGCTTACGATCTTCCGACTACAAAGTTACGGAGGAGCTGCTGATTGGCGATACATTGCGCATTCACGGATGCGATCCCTCGTCCCTTTCGTGTGGAGCGCGCAACCCCTTCAATATCTACCGCGATTGCGCTGGTTGCTGGAACACGCAGTCGTACGTCGGCGATTTTGTCGTGTCGTCGGGTGTCTGCGAAAATTACACGGCCACGCTGTAAGTATGTCCTGCAACATTTTGACGTGTTCTTGGAGCCGCGCTCCAGGATTGTTTTCTATCGAGTGTCCATCAAGTAAACGTGCGACGAGTGGCATTCGAGGTCCTCGAAAAGGAGCACGTCAGGATATTGTTGTGCAACACCATATGACGATTTTCATTATCGATTTTTATTTATTTTTACTTAATAAGGCGTCCGATTCGATCGTTAAATTTAGATTCCCATTTGCGCGCGATTACAAGCGTATTTTTCACAGTTAAAAACCCAGAAGTTCCGACATCCTTGATCTGATAATTTCTCAGACCGAGAGAATAAAAAGCAACATATTTTTTTACCGAGTGATACGTCTCAGCTGGAAATTGAAATTCCACAGGACAGGATGCCGTCGGCTCGGAGAATGATCCTGGGCCACGTTATGTCCGGTTTGTGCAGCAAGATGAATCGCCGGAAAAAGTTGGAGGGTGACCTTCTGGAAACTCCGATGAACCGATGTCTCTCCACCTTCGACATCACGTTACTCGGTGAATATATATACCCTTTAAGTATATTACAGACAACTGTGTACAAAAAAAACCTTAAGCAAAAAGTATCAAATAGTCAAAAGAAGTGACCATTTTATCAATTAAATTGAAATATTTTATCAATTAAACAGGAAAGACACTTTATATTATAAGAGATATATTTTTTCTCCCAGTAGAATAATTGCATTTTCATACAACGAGCGATACGTAATTTATTATGCGCGCGCGTTATCACGACAATGATATACGTAACAATCCGGAATATCACAGCCTTGAGTATCGGAATAAGATTATATTCGGTCTGTGTGCATAATTACGTTGACTAATAGATCTGACAATTGAACCTATTTTTAAAACAACAAATCCATTTATAAAACAAATAAACTTGCTCAGAAGTTGATATGTGAGACTGCACGTGTGTGATACACGCATCGGAGATTTCCAGGTGTGGGTCACATGGTCGGTGCCGGGATTTACGTGCTGACGGGAACGGTCGCGCACGACAAGGCCGGACCCGGCGTGATCATCAGCTTCCTCATAGCCGGTCTGGCCTCCGTTTTGGCGGCGCTTTGTTACGCTGAGCTCGCCGCGCGGGTGCCAAAAGCGGGTAGCGCGTACGTCTACACGTACGTCTCTGTCGGCGAGTTTCTGGCTTTCATCATAGGCTGGAACCTCATCCTGGAACACATGATCGGTATCTCTGCTTTTCATATATAAAATTTAGAAGCGAAAATATTGCAATTTTTTAACATCTACGATTGTCACGCTGATTAGGCGCAGCATCCGTGGCAAGAGCTTGGAGCGGGTACGTGGACTCGTTAGTGGGCGGTGCGATTAGCAATTACACCCATGATTTACTGGACGACTACATTATGGGACAGCCTCTGGGAATCTTCCCGGATTTCCTGGCGAGCGGATTATGCCTGGCTTACGCGATGCTTTTGGGATTAGGGGTGAAGACCTCAGCGACCGTGAACTCGGTTCTGACCATCGTGAATCTCGCGGTGATGATGTTGGTCGTCGTTTTGGGAATTTGTTACGCGGACATCTCAAACTGGGGCAACCAAAACGGAGGTTTTCTGCCATACGGCTTCGGCGGTGTAATCACGGGTGAGTTTTATCTCGAGCGGTTAAATAAAGATACGATAATCATAAAATTGAATAAGTTCGCGTACTGATCTTTTAATGAAAAGCAAATAAACGCCTCTCTTCGCCTCGTGTGAGACTAATGGGTGAAACCAAGAGCAATTGGAAATTTATGTAGGAGATAAAACAACAAATGCTGTTTGCAAGCTACTTTCATTACTCCGTACACATGAAAATGTCAAATATGTACACAATAGGCGCGGCAACGTGTTTCTACGCCTACGTCGGGTTCGATTCGATCGCAACCTCCGGGGAGGAGGCTCGTGATCCGGGGCGAAGCATTCCGAAGGCGACGATTCTCTCTATGGCGATAGTGATCATCGGATACATGTTGGTCAGCGGCGCTTTGACACTGGTCGTGCCGTATTGGGAGATACATCCCACCGCTGCTCTGCCGGAGGCCTTTTCGTTCAGAGGTATTCCATGGGCCAAATACGTGATCAGGTGAGAATTTCTTCTCTTTTTGACGTTTGCTTTCAACACGTTAAATATAACGCAAACGTTTTTCTCGCGCAGGAAACATTTGATATAAAAAATAAAAATATCACAAGAGTATCGTTTTTCTTCTACCGTTTTTTTTTACCACATATGTAATATTACCGAGGGCTGATGCGGACCCTGTATAATCGAGTGTTCAAAGGGTTAAAAATATTATAATATTCACATGAGTATGAGCACACTCTTCACCTTCGAAAGTTTGCTTTTAATAACACTTCGTAGGGTAAAATGATATTACACAACAAGGGGGTAACTTTTTTTGCGCGTTAATCTGCGACTTTTCGCATGCGCAGCGTGGGTGCTCTCTGCGGCATGACAACGACTCTCTTCGGATCCCTGTTCTCTCTCCCGAGGACGATGTACGCCATGGCAAACGACGGTCTGTTGTTCAGCTTTCTCGGCCGTATCAGCGAACGAACTCAAGTGCCGGTGTGCAATCTTATCATAAGCGGACTGCTCAGTGCCCTGATCGCTCTTCTGTTCGATCTCCAGCATCTGGTGGAGTTCATGTCGATTGGGACTCTGCTCGCGTACACCATCGTAGCGGTCAGTGTCATTCTGCTGAGATATACACCTGAGCAGCAACCGTCTGACCGGACCAGCGTCGGTACACCGAGCAGTTTGTCGTCGCCACCTACGGAGGAAGCGGATTCCAGCAGTTACAGCAGCATCGCATCCGTTAAGTCCGAAGTAAGTGTATTTATATCATTACAAACATCGCATGACATAATTATATAATAATTCTAGTTTTGTTTTTTCATAAACTATATTGAAAAATTCTAAATATACATGAGATATCAATTCAATTGTATTGAGCAATTATTAGACTCTTTTTAAATAATGAATTGTTTTTATTGCACAGTTGCTATGTGAGGGCGTTGGGAGATTCAAGCCACGATACGCCTGGTTGGAAGACACACTAGAAGGATGCGATACCAGACACATCATAGCCGTTTGTTTAAGCGTCTATACGATAACCTGCGCGGTTCTCAGTACTTTTCTGATAATAACACTTGAAACAGCAGTTTCGTTCACGAAAAATGATTATCTAGTTGCGGCGAGTTATATTTTGCTATCCTTTGCAAGTAAGTGTTTTTTTCGAACTTTCAATAATTTCATCAAGATACAATCGTTGGATTGATCACAAATGTTTTTACCAAATGCAGTTTTGTTTGTAGGTCTTTTCGTGATTTGCGCCCATAAACAAAATCCGCCCAATGGAAAGTTTCGAGTACCGCTAGTACCTTTTATACCAGCATTAAGCATTTTGTTTAACATGGGTTTGATAATGCACTTGTCTTTGGTGACGTGGTTACGGTTTGTCGTGTGGATGACACTCGGTAAGTCGATGTATGATTATTTGTACAAAACTTTAATTTTCTGTTAATAACTTCTTCCCACTCTATATGTTATTATAACTTTTCGTCCGTTTTCTAATTTAATTTCCTTTTTATTCTTCAGGAATGATGATTTACTTTCTATACGGTATCCACTACAGCAAAGAAGCCGCTACTACTCCAAATTCGTACTCCATTTTGATGGCCACTTCGGAAGCCGAAAAAGGTACAAAATGGGGATCAACGTTGCGAGTCAGTCCACAGACTGACAAAACACCTATTTTGGATGACAAAGAGCACTAAAAACAAGTTAAGTTTTTCGGTTTTTTTTCTCGTTTAAATTGTCTTAGTGAAGCCGCAGAAATAGGATAAATCTTACCACCCAAGTAAAGTTGAAGTTGTCTGTTCAACGAATTCTACTACTGTACAAAGTTCAAAATTCACATACAATAATTTAGTGCATTGCAGAAGAAAATACGTTTTTTATTTGGTTTAGACTATATCTTACTGTTTTTAAATTTATTTCTGACGTTTTTTTTTCAGCGGCTTTGGTTTATTTATCGCTTGCAATTCGTATGTATAAAACATATGTTTTGTAAATACTGTCTAAAACTCGAACAACTAAGCATGTAATTTATTTATTTTTTTTTGACAAAGTTTTATCTAGTATCAAAATTTATATTGTTTATATTTATCTCGTTCAACTCTGTTATGATAATAATTGTTGATAGTTTTAAGATTTTACTTTTGTAACATGATGGACAGTATTCTTCCTTTCTGGAACGTGACTATTATCATGTAGTCACGAAATTAATCGATATGTTTGACACTACTGTGTTACAAGTTTCGGTGTGTAAGTGCTGTGTGTGCAGCGCTTACCTAAAACTTGGAGAGAAAAATGTAACTAAAAAAAATCTTTATGTGATATATATTTTGTTATACGCACAATTTACATATTTTGTGATGAGAAGTTTATTATTGCTTTCTTTAATTTGATTCTATCTATTAAATGTAGAAAGATGAAATATTTCCATTGTCACACAAAGTGTCATTTATTATGATGAACTTGAAGTTTGATAAAACATCTTGATTCGTATAAATTTACATTCTCGTATAAAACAAAACACCAGATTAATATACCTTGAAAACAAAAACAAGAAGACTTATTAGTTTATTGTTATAAAAAAAAAAAAAAAATGATCTGACAATGCTGACAATATTGGCTTGCATCACGGCAATCGATAAAATTAAGATAAATATTACAACTCGGTTGAAAATACGCATACGTTTATTTGAATGTGATACAAATCAAGAAAAAAATAGAAAAAAAGAAAATTGATCAAACTGCAAAGGAGAATCAGAACGCAGAACATTTTGCGGAAGACTAATTCTGATGAAAAAAAAAATATATATATTGTACATCAACAAAGAATATAGAGCTGTATTATTTACATAATGATATACTATCGTCTACATAAAATCTATGATTTGAATTGTACATATATATGTCGTGCGTGACATTACATGGAAAGTATACAACAACATAATGTATTGACGATAGATGAAAATGCTATAAGTCAAGAAGCATGTAAAAGACAACACTATATATATTTAAAATACAAAAAAAGCAAAAATTTATTTCTTAAGAGATATTTATATATATACTTTTAATTAATGTAATAGTAAATAATAGAGAAATATAGATTAGTAATGCAAAGTCTCTCTCAAAAGCAAATATAGATACATACATACATATATATATATATATGTACGTATATAAACAATGTGTCCTGCAATTATGAGTCAAATAAACGATTGCGTCTTATTTATTTACGAAAATAGTTTTTAACAAAATCGAGTACAAATTCCTGCATGAGTATACATAAAACAACTACAATATTGATGTTTGAATTCATCGCAGTTAATATAACGCACGATTCGCTTGTGCGATTGATCTTTGTTGTGTGTCACAACATTGTCTTTGTGCAACATATTGATCGTCACAATATCCTCGCGGGAGATTCACGTTATCTGTTGACAGTAACGTCTAGCCGATTATCTAACTTGCGTATTTTCATATCTGATATTCCGTTTTACATCTATATAATTTCGCTATATTATTTATCTATATTATTTCTCTAATTTTTAAATGACTATATGTGTCAAGAAAAGGTACAACAAAGCACAATAAAATACATATATCGGTTTTAACTGTTTATATACGAAAAGTTTTTTTATTATAACATCAGGCATTGAACATTCATCACTTTGTATGCGCATGTAAAATACTTTCGGACGTATTTATACAATAAACTCATGTTGCACGTCATGTTTCACATTGGTTTTACAAAATTTCTATGAAACATCTGTAAATACAATTCCGTGCAAAATATTATTATTATTTGCAACAAATAATAATATTCAACATGCTAATCTCTTTTCACAGAAAAAATACCAAAAATTATAAATTATTATTTACTTATACAAATTTTTCTATAAATGAGATACATAATAACGCTCTGTAAAAAAATAAAACATTTCGCTTCTTTCTCAATACAACATTCAGGAAAACATTTGACTTGTCGAATAGCGTTAACAAATAAATTACATATGTATATAACAAAATATTTGTTCTATATATATATATATATATGAAAGGCATACATATTATATAATATAATACGTATTTCTTTGCATATAATTACTTGCTTATTCTATTTTTAATATACGTATAATTTGCTATAAATAAATCATTTGTATTGCCTGAGTCAAGAAAATAAGAAACAATCAATTGTACAGATATGATTTCTTACATTACTTTGTGAGGTATTCACAAAACTCGTATTCACAAAACTGGAACACTTGGTAAATGCAGGAAATGATGCATATATATGCCATTACATATTGAATTTAAATGAATATACATTATTCTATAGTAATTTCTATAGTAATTTTTCTATAGTAAGTTTTAACAACTTAAACACATTAGAATATAATTCTCTGTATTAAAAAAATCCTAAAATTTGTTTTCATACGCAACTTTTTCAATTCAATATAAACTCTTAACAATAATATGAAATGAAATAAATAGTGTTTAATTCGAAGAAAACACTGTATATGCATCACATCATCGAAGAGAATCTCTTAATGATTGTATAGGTACCAGTGTCAACATATTACATTTACAATATTATGCTGATATGTTACCTGTTGTTACGCGTAAGTATGATTTTCCAAGCGGATATCGATTTCGATTGTAACATATGAATTTTCCTACGGCCCCATCTAAGCCAGAAAAAGCCTATAATTAAGCACAGAATGCTTTCTAAGTAATAACCGTCGAGCTGCATTACGCAAACACCATCATTGGTATTCGCACAGAGCTGAAAATAAAATAACGTTAAAATACTTCCATGATCCTTCGATATGACCAACATAAAAGTGATAAAAAAATACTGTGACCAACCTTTTTCTCTGTAATTGTACTGCAGTCGTTTGAATAATCGGTACTGCATTTCTTAAATGTTAAGGGATCGACAAACCAAAGCGCGGCCGTGGCAGGCCAATTTCCACCGAGATTACACAAAGTATTGAGCAATGTCATATAAGTGCCACCAACTGCCGGATCGCTGACTTTTGCAAAAAAAGCCATCGACGCCACGAACATGCTACTTGTAGATATCTGACAGCGAAAAATATGGTGATTACACAATGGATTACACATATCCACGATATGAAAATAAATTGATTGGCGTCGTCCGATGACGTACTAGACAGAAAACTTGTATTTACCTGATGTATAAAAAAGAGAGCTGTTAATATAACAAAATAGTAAGCTGGAACATGACCGTTGAGTACAACAAATGGAGTAACCCACACTAAAAACGCCGCTATTAAACCGAAGGTCAACCTGTGATACGTAAAATGTTTACATTTTATTACCTTTATGCAATTAAACATTTAATTCAGGTATCAATTAAATTATGAAGTAATTACCTATAAGGATAAGCTTTCATATAAACATCCATAGGTCTCGGTCCAGCGGTATATTTTGAAATTACCAAAGGTAAGATTATCTGCAATGGTATCATAAACACAGCCATAAAAGCAAACTTTTCTTTGGGAAAACCAGCTTCTATAAGCTTTAACCCAGTTACTGCGTCACATGCCGAAAATCCAATCTACGGAAAATACAAACGATAAAAACAAAAATTGCAATTTTTAAGTACAAATTTTAAATACTTAATAAAAAAGGTATTTCTTTACTTTTGCAGTTAAGAGAAATATAATTGTCGTCTTTATGGTTGGCAATTTAACTATATCCCACAACAGCTTGTAAGCGTGTCTAATGTCCGTATTTAACTCTTCGCCTTTCGATACTCGACCTTTATCTTCATGCTTGAATAACGCAATGAGCGTCGTTGTAATAATAAATGTCCAGCCCCAAAAGTATAAAAATCCTACGGATATAATAATTGAGCATTGAGCACGATAACAGTATTGCAATGCAAATAATTTTTTGTTTGGTTTGTAAACGATAAACATTTATTTACCAGGGAGAGTCAATATGCCTTCACTGGAAGGAGTCGATCTTAAGTAATTATTGCAAAATTCGGCAGATTCTAACGAAATAAACAAAACGTAGCCAATGAAATAGCCTGCTGTCTGGCCGACACTGTTACAAGTAGATGCGTAGCCAACGTTGCACCTTAACGAATGAATTGCACATTTTTACAAACAGCTGATAAGAGAAAATATTAATGCAACGCTTTGAAAATTACCTTTTAAGCATCGTAAGCGCCCATCCATCGACTACAATGTCTTGAGTAGCTGCAAGTACGTTCAAGAAAAAGAATAACACAGTCAACATTTCAATATTGGGCTTTTCGTGCTCTTTACCCAGCCAATGGTTGATGTAGGCTGACAGAAGAAGCATGAATATTCCCATTAAGTATTGTGTAGGAATCAACCAAGTTTTTCTCCTTCCAAACTTTTGCGAAAAAATGGAATCTACTATAGGTGCCCAAAAGAGCTTTAATGAGAAGGGCCATTGTACAAAACTAAATTCTGCCTGCATCAAAAACAAAATATATGTATCTCATTATTATAAAATCATGTTTCACAACAAACACATCAGTCTATTATTATTTACATAACTAATATTTTACACACAAATATAAATGTAGTTACATATTAAACAACAAATAGTTAACATTTTATTAGCTACAATATAAATTCCTCTATTTTCTTCCTTCACAGTACCTGTTGACGATAAGAAACTCCTCTGTTCTGCAACAGCATTGGAATAGAACCGCATAATCCCAAGGGAATACCTTGCAACAGGTACAAGAAGAACAGAATCGCGATGTTCTTCTCATCACCTCGCAGATCAGACGATTCCTGGGTGTGTGAATCAACAACACCGCCGTCCTCCACGATGTTGCTCCCTTTTTCCGATTTCCTTTTCATACCGATGCGACGGTCAACAGAATACGAATATCTACCTCGTGCCACGTTGGAACACCGTATTCGATGTTTTATTTAATATTATGCTAATTTTCAAGGTTATCGCCAATCGTTAGGACAGTTGCCAAACTGGAATCGCTGCTCGTCACCGCATGTCGCGGACGATCAAGTGCGCGCGGAGTGCACAGCGATTCAATTTTCACAGCGACACAACAAATGAATGAATAATTTACGCTAAACGACACAAAATGCTGCCGATGCAAACATTACACACATAACCTTTGTTCCTCCGCTCACGACAGAAGCGACAGTTCTCTCGCGCGAGAAGTTCACCGTTTCGACTTTCTTCTCTGCGATTGCGCTCATCCGTCGTAGAAAGAAAACAAAAAACCAATGGCTCGAGTAAAAAAACCGAGAACGTACGATTCTTAACACCGTTATACTCACTGCCACGTTATGATTCTTATTAGGACACGTCAGTTTTGTTTTTTTTTTATATATTCGACGTCACGTGTATGCATGCAACTTGACGAAGCTGTTTTGTACACAGATACAAGTACGCTAACTGCATGAGCGAGATATTGTAGCTCCACCTCGCGTGCGATGCGATAACGATAATATTGAGAGAACGATTCGAACAAGAGATATACACACAATATACAAGGAAATTTTATTCTTTTTATGTTTACATGTAATATATGTATTTACTCAGTTTTTATATCTATACATATTCATTTATATTATAGGTATTTTTTTATTTTTCAAACAGTGATAAACGTTACATGTTTATAATTAAAGAAATATTCATTTATATCTTTCTTATGTAATTACAAGCGAACACATTGCAGCTTCTGTTCTCCATTGCAACGCGAACAGCCACTTTTATTAAGTTTTTTACATTTGCACTCACGGAATTGGTGCTCAACACGTTTTTCTGTATTCTATAAACAAAAAAAACAAATTAACTTCGATTAGATAATATTAATAATATTATGTAATGCGCCAGTGTGTTTATCTACGCTTGAGAAAATTACATACAAATTGGTAAGATGATATTTTCGATCTGTATTTAACAGTTCGACATCTTTGCCGACATCGGTTAAATAATCCTTTTGAATTTCACATGTCAGTCTAGCAACGCATCTCGGAGAGACAACCAATCTGTTAGTGGAACCATCTTTTTGTATCTGCTCGCAAAAAAAGCAACAATGTGGCAAATTTTTCATGTACAAAAACGTTGACGTCACGTACACGTGTACGTACCTTGGCTAAATTTTGTCTTAACATAGCGATAATGTAATCCATCTGACCGTCAGTGGTCTGCACTTCCTCCGAGAAAGTTTCCGATCTCTTTTTCCGTCCGGTCACGATACCAATCGGCAGAAGTACCGGATTTGAAGCTAACGCCGCTGCTGCTCCGATTAGTGCGACACCAGCTAGAGCTTTCAATGCTACGGCCTTAAAACAAATAGAAACTTATATTTACATTCATTCTTTTCAACGTCTGAATTAAAAAAAAATATCCTCAAGAATAAATGTACCTTTTGCGCTTGAATATTTCCCGCGGGGAGCTGCGGCACGCTTCCATCCGGATAAGCCGGGCTTTCTCCGGGTCCGAATTCGTCATTGTCGGCCAGTGTTCCCGAAATCCCATAGCCACTTCCATGTCCAGTCGGTCTGCCGTAACCCCCGTAACCACTAACGCCATAACTATATCCTCCACCGTTTCCTGAGCCGTATCCCAGAGTGCTGGGTCTGTTCGCAGTTTCACTTGGGTGCACCGGACGCGGTATGTATCTTTTGTTTCCATCGAAATACGAAACATTAGCGACATGTTTAATATCGAACATTGTTGAAACCTTCTCATCATAGAGATGAATCGGTCTCTTTTAATTTCCTTTTGATCCCTCAACGTCGCAAAGTTAAATTAGTCTTTTTCAAATTATCTGAAAGTTTTCTTTGCAGGTGATAGAAGAGCAACAAAGATTATATAAGAAAATTTATGTTGCGGGAAGTTGAGGAGGAAATTTACCTGTCTCCCGACTGACTTCCTGCGTAGACTCCGTTTCCGCCTCCGCCTCCGCCTCCTCCTCCTCCTCCTCCCCCAGGTCTTCCGCTACTTCCGGAGGAACTCGAAGGTCGGCTTTGCCATCCGTGTCTGAAAAAAAACTTGGCGTCCTAAAATTTTTATGTACATAAAAAAATGGTCAGTTAACCTACCTGTCGACGGGGTGTCGGTCGCCGTATTGGGAGGGATATCGTCCGCTCTCTAGAGGAATTCTATTGTAATTGTAATCTGGTCGCGCGGATCCACTGTGTCTGCAGCAGCTGGAACTTGCAAGTAGAAAAATTCATAATCCAAATTATTATCAACATTAGTGGTAATACTTCTTCGTAATATAAAAAAAGAACCTCCAAAATATTGACTTATCTCTAGAGTCAAAATTTGAGTCGCGATGTACGGTTCTCGCTTTCTTGTCCGTCTTCTTCGACTCTTCCTCGTTGTTCTTGTCTGAAACAAGTTGCGACGAGTTTTCAGCGCGAATGACGTTTGTCAGAAGCCGATCTTCCGAATCGGTACGGTCCTCTGAGAATTCGGTTGTCAATGCGAATTCACTTTTCTCCGCTAGCACGCAATCAACACCGAAGATGATAGAAACAATCAGGATAAGTGTCGTCATTGCGATAAAGTAAAATCGAGTATTTAATGCATTTCCGGCGCCAGCTTGAAAATATATCGAATATATCGAATACGCGAACAGTTCCGAGCCGTCGTAAAAAAAAATTTGACCAGAGTTGTAACGAAGATGGAGATGATACGCAAGTGACTCTCTAATTTCCCAAGTTTCACCTATTTATATAGCGGTCACGCATGAGATGCTGTCACATATTCACCCCTCAGGGACGAACACAGAGCCATTCTCGAATGAAATCTCTTGCTGTTCGAAAACTTCTATATTTTTTTTTCAAAGCGCATGAATATCCTCGCGATACTTCGTCAAGCTCTTAATTTACGACTTAATTTACGATGAGATATCTATTCGAATACCTCGCTATTCCGTCGTTTTTATTATTTTCGAGCAACTTCATCAACTGCGCTGTTTTCGCGTGTGAAATAAATTTGCACTGGTTGCGCCCCTGAAGTCACAAAGTGTGACCGAACGTCGAGCAGCGGTGCGTTAGCAAAAATAAAAGTGTCGCGAGTGAGCCAACAATCGTCACGTCAGGACATTAATTAAGATTTTCTATCGTCTATTGTTTTTGTTATTTTCTTACGAAATTCGGCAATTTGCGAGATTACGCTAACAAGCCCTAGCCACCGTTGTGTTAGGAAACACATTTCGCATGTTACGCATTTTTTGTCTCTTTCTTTGAAATTCCTTAATTTTAATCTAGATGAGACTTTCTCTTCTATAATTTCCATACAATTAATTTTCAAATTAATTTCAGCGGAAGAACACAGAACATGTGAGCAACTCTTTCTTTTTAGTTTTTCTACTTTCCCTTCGTATTCGCCACGGTCCTCGCCTTTTCCGCGCCAAGGAACGTGCTTTACGTCAGCTAAAGTCAGTAGGTTCAAGCAAATGCATAATCTTACTTTCTTTTGATCTCCGATTTTCACTACAACGAGATAAATTCAAGATAATCTGTGCGACAAGAAAAACGTAGATATACTTAATTAAACGAACGAGATTGAGTCACTAAAGGAATAAAACGAGTCGAAAAACTTGCGCCGAATTGGCGATTGGCAATTTCCTACTATTTCTCTCTCGTTCCCTTAATAGATTTCGCCGTTGCAAAATGTAGACGGAGGGCAATTTGTTCCGCCAGTGTGACCAACGACCGAAATTAGGCAAGTATAGTGTGTCCGCGACAGTTTCAGTCTCTATACTGAGCACGCTACGTAAAACAGCATGGAAAACATCGTGTGCAAATATCAGAATATCGAAATTGGATATCTCTTCTTGAACAATTTTTTTAGGGATTTCATCGGACCACAAGAGCCGGTATGAAAAGCGAACATTAATTTGAGCAAGTCTGGCGGCCCCTGCGAAGACCGGAAAGCCACAATGAAAGAGAGAAGCCGATTCCATACGAGAATATTGGGGACGGGACATTGGGAAGAGAGAGGAGGGGGGGCTAATTTAAAGAAAAGAGGAGAATGCCGTGTCCCGCGCTAGGACGCACGAATATTCCCAAGTGGAAACAGGACGAAGGATTAAAACAGAAAGAGAAAACACGAGAACGAGAGAATGAGAGAAAGAGAAGCCGAAGGGTGGCCTATGGAAGACACGAGAGATCGCAGAATGAAGCGAGAGCAAAGTAATCAATACGCATTCACACGCGGTGCCTCGCATCTATGGTTTCCATGGAAACTGACGCCCACGCATGCGTTGGTCCGACGATACTGCTGTACCAACAATATCGTCTGGAAGTCGAAATCAGTCTGGCGCCAACCATTCTATGCGCAAGAGGTTGCTACTATCGTTACAATAGAGCAACAGAGGGATTAGAGAAAAGCGCAAAGAAATTGTTTTACACTTGAAAATATTGATAATGAGTTGATGTCTTTTACCAGTACAATTCTTTTGTTAAAAGAAGATAAAATACACAACCAACTCACATATACATATAAAATTTAATTTTAAATTAAAAATAGATCGAAAAAATAAAAATAGCAATATAAAAAAATAAGAAAATGAAATGACAGATCCTATCGGTTAACGTATTAGACGTTGCATTTTCCACAGTCGAGAATAATTTTTATCATTATATCTCTTTTAAAGACCGGACCTTAAAAAAATGAAGTCCAATAGGATCACTAATACATTGTGCACAAAAGCACCATGATATCTGTATTCATGTCATCGCGAGAACGACCGGCGTCTAAAGCACGCTCAACCAAATCGGGAATCGTTCCCCCGACGACGGTCATCTTGGTCTCTCTATCGTCGTCATTCGGAGGGTTCGGCGCGACATTCGTCCGACGGATGTATTCAATCCCCCTCAGCCACCCTCTCGATGGCACGAGGAGCCTCTGCGACCGCGGGGAAGAGGGTTGCTTCTCGCTGCGCCTGCGTCGAGCCCCCCGATGACGACTCGGCTAGGTAGGTGCTCGACCCGGACGCAGTTGGAAGAAAACAAGCAGCAGACCGTCTGCTGTTCTCGCGTATAGCGTGAGACCTTTTCTTGTCCCGTTCGACCGGAATGAGAGATCGTCGGTGAAAACGAGGGATCGGCGATCGATGCGGTCGAAAATAGCTGTGTGTTCTCGTTGTGGTGCAACGTAAACGGTGTCCGAGGCGGAGCTGAACGATGACGGCACGAGAAGCTCGGCAAGAGGATATAATAGTGTGAAAAAAACTAACGTTCGATAACACGGGAAGCGGGATAAGTTCGTTGAACTCTTTCGTGAATCTGGAGTTGATGCCACTGTGTTGCTGCTTGAGGCGATCCGAATGCACTCGAGGGTGACTATCAGCATCTCTCGGCGAGAGGGGAAATGCGTGTCGAGTGATTAATTCTTCCGGATTCTGTGTTACGTGCGTCGCAATCATCGGAAACAATTTTGAGCAAACGTCGAGAGTTTGTCACGAAATTATAATCCGCAGAAAAAATTCGCGTTCTCTCTCTTTTTCGCTCGCTGTCCCTAAGTTTCGAACGTCCTTGTTTCGGCGGGAGAAATCGCCGACCGAAAGATCTCTCTCGTTGCGATCTTGTGTGTTGTTTCCGGTGCGGCTGGATGCAACGTCGTGAAGGATGCACATTTGAAGAGTGAGGCAAGCCGTCATATCGGTTTTGGCGTGATGCGGCATGCTTAACAGGTTCTAATCATCAATTGCATGTGGGTCACGAGTTGCATTCGCCGCAGCTAACAAGATAGAAGGTTTACCGAGCTAAGAGAGGTAAGCCTGTTATCGATGTTATTGATGAGCGGAGTTGTTGATACGAAAGTGTTTGGACGAACATCGATGTGAATTAATCTTATCGACGAAGATTTCAACTCTAATCAGGTTACTTTTATTTGTGTTAAATATTTTTAGTCTCTAATAAAAAAAACAGTGAAACTTACAAAGTAATTGGTTTAAAAAAAAAAATTTTAAACAAACTAACAAGAAGATCCAATCCATTCTCCTAAGATAACCTTCTATCTATTCTTAAGAAAATAACCTTCGAGAAAAATTGTATTGGCCGAAGGAAAAGACTTTAATTAGTTTAAATAATAGGGGAGAAGATGATAGTATAACTTACTTTGTAGATAATATGGCTCCTTCTCTTTTCTCAAAAAATAAATATATACAAATATATTTGTTCTATCAGATGATGAAGTCTATGAGTAATAACTCGTGGAATCAGTGATTTGTATATACGCAGTGTTTTATTTTTAACACGCCAGTAACTAAAACCGTGTGTTACAACGCAGTTGTTTTTTTGAAATATATGCAAGCATTTTTTCCAAGACAAGTTTTACCATTTCTTTTTATTTAATTATACTGTAAGTAAATATTTCGTAACTTTGAGTCTAGAATCTGTTACACAACACACCGTGAAGGATATAACGTCCAGTTCTCAGTTTGAATATTGATTAACAAACGTAACACAGAAAATGTAAATCGGGGTCCGTATTTTACCGCCGCCTCATCTATATAAATAAATCGTGGTAATTTGAGCTTCCGCATCAACCGCTTCAAAAATGTCATAACGACAAGGAATCTTAAAAAAAAACAAAAAAAAAACAAAAAAAAAGCATCAAAACAAATTTTTATCGCGAAGGGATTAAAGTCACGTGGCTGAAAGTAAGTGCTGCGGTTTATGATGTCCTTAACCTCGTAGAAAATCAATGGTCTTCATATACAGCTGTGTGTTCCACATACGATGCCACAATGTAATTTGAGCAACTTTGTTTGCAACAATAAATGAAATCGCGAAAATAAACTTAGAGAAGAAGCGCGATTTAAGAAATTTTATCGTCAGTAACATATATAAATCTGGGACAACAACAATGAACGCGGTCATTTTTCACAAGAACCTTCTTTGATTATTACAGTTTTTATGAAATTAACTTTGCAATTTGCATGTCGCGTATAGTCCACGCCACTTGAAATTTAAATACGGAGCAAACGGACGAGCGTCCCTTTTAAGATATGCAGCAGATTAGAGACTGTTCTTCCCGGCACACAAAGGGATCGGTAATGAGAACTACCGCAGTGTTTGCACAAGAATCGCGCTTCTTTCATCCCGTAGTCCTTCGTGAGCTGCTTGTAACACAGGGGTGGTTTCGTTCTGTCAATTGTTTAAAGGAGAGCGTTTATGCAAATCGATTCCTGAAGTAAATTCGGAGTTGTGGGAATATCGGATAATAGGATGGCGCAATTTTGTTGCACGAGTTCGAATAATTGAAACGAACTCGCATTATAAATATTTATTTCCTATTTTACATTAATGATTGTCTGTGTATTTCTCTTATATATTCGATTGTGTGATACGCGCCGTAAAAACTGCACCAACATTTTCCGCAAGCTTCGCTTTTGTTACATTATCGGGTTTGCTTATCGGATCAGATTATTTTGATTATACACGTACCTCTCTATTCATTTTCCTCGAAAAGAAAAATCGGAGTGCTATCGACCAACTGTCGACTTCATCTCGTCGACTTTCGACGTGTAAAAAGACCCGACTATACGTGGATTTCGATTTCCCCAACCTCCTTTCTGCCAGCTCCTTAACTTAACTCTCACGAGGGTAACGCCACCGGAAAGGGAGCAAGTTGTACATTTTCCATGCCGCCATCCACGTGATCCTCGAACCTGAACTGTTCTCTTCGCGATTGCGATGCTGTTGTTCCCTCTCGTCGGGGATGATAGGGTATTATCAATTGTGCGTGGCGTCACACTTGTGACGAGGGACGAGAGTTGCTTCCCTGACAGTTGCGGATTCTCTGTCTGATATCACATGCTCATTAAGCCACTTTCATTTCGAAACACCGTTCAGAACGTGTGTAAATACCGTAAATTTCGAGATTTATAATTTACACAAAAATATCACTCTATGATTTATTTAACGTTTTAGCAACTTTGACATTTAGACGTTTCAAAACTCGTTGAGTTTTTTTTAGAGTGAAAGGGATCTTCTAGTATTTGGCGTAGACATAAATCCCGAACTCGAACCCGTGAAATCTCTGAAAAATTGCCGTGACGCACATTTAATCCCAGCTTTTGATCCGAGTATTCGTAGCGAGAGAGAGAAAGAGAGAGAGAGAGTGCAAAGACCGATAGTACTCGTTTCGAAATCTGCGCGTATGGGACATTATCGCTAGTCATCCTTTCCATCCTCTCCCCTCGACAAAACCGATGGAATCCGTTGATATAGTCCGGACACGTGTGTGCAGTTGCCATAAAATTCTTACCAACGCGCGCTTCGCGTACGTACGCGCGTTCCGTATTTGAGAGATTCTACACCGGAAAACTGCGAAGAAGAAATAGCTCGCTTGTTCGTTGATCCGTGAAAAATCCGATAAAAGTTGACTCAAACGTACAAAGAGATTGAAATAATCCGAATCGTGGTATTTAAAAAAAAAACTTTTTTTCGTATTATTATGTAATTAAGTTTTGACCGTGTAAAGTAAAGAAAAAATGTTAATAATATTTTATATAGACTTGAAAAATGTAATAAAGCAATGAAAATAGTAGAAGAAGAAGAAACTTCGCAGTATAACAAGATCAAAAATTTGCTCTTCTTTTTTTTTCCTACGCACCCTTCTTCCTTTCTCTTCGATCTATCCGTTGCGCGGAATGAATACCTACCAGCAAGGGAGAGGATCGCATTTGTACGTCTACCTCGAAATGTATTGCCTCGCGAGAGAGAAAGAGATGTGTATTTGCATACGCGTGTTCGAGATGCGTGAGGGTGCATTCGTTTGCCCGAAACTCGATTTTCACGCCTGTTGTAATTAAATTTCGAATGCCGGATATGAATGCGAGTGATGACTGATAAGGCCAATGTGTCGAAAGCAAGCTTGCCTTTCTTCGATTAATTGGATTTCACGGGGTTGAACCGCGCGATGAACCGATCATCAGGTATATCGAAATACGTTTTTGAACGAAGAGCTGTTATATCTGCACTTCTATATATCACATTGCAAATTTTTTACAATGTGATCGGAAGTATTTGTCTGCGCATAAAATATATAGAATATAATATAAAATAATATCGAGATACATACAAGCGACTATACAATAACGATACGATCGTGAAAAGAATTGGAAATCAAGTTAGAAAGTTTCTTGGGAGCTTTTCACGAAGTTGACAAATTGAGTGAAGAAACGGCGCAGAAACAGAATTATCTCACAATAGATGTGTGAGCTGTGTTACTAATTCAACGCAGTGAGCAAGCGTCGAGGGAAACGTAAGCCGTGGCGACTCCCTCTCGCTTTAGGACAACCCAGAAATCGCTGCATCTGATGCCTGACTTTTTCATGCGCGGTTCGCAATCGTTTTATTTCCCAAAAGTTTCACGCTGGAAATGTCTAACGCTCGCCGACATGAAAGCGCAAATCAAACTTTCGGACAGATCCGATAAATTATTTGTCTTGTAACTCAGTTCAAAGTAGTTAGTCTCACATTATTTCAAGAAAACACTTCGTTAAGGAAGGCGGTTATTTTCACGAAAGAAAAATATTTGGCATCACAAGAACGATGACTCGTCATAATTTGTTTGATGTTCTCGAGAAGAGATAATTACTAAGTAAAGCTTAATCTTAACTTAATGGCTTCTTCAATAATTACATTAATATTCTCTGGAGTGTTACTGTGTGAGTGTGTTAGTATTATCTATAGTAATATTAAGTGCAGCGACGGATTGTCTTTTGTTTCAGGAGCAAAATGTGGAGCTCGGTCACTGCGGCTGGCACCGAAAACGGACCAGCGCCTCCTTCGAGAAGCAAGCACAGCGCCACTCTACTTGCCGGTCACGTGTATCTTCTCGGAGGTAGAAATGGAAATCTGCCTCTCAAAGATCTCTGGCGATACAGTCTCGGTAAGTCTTACAGTTTTTGTTTGTTTTTTGCATCAACAATACATGTAAAAATTTTTAACCATGTCCAAAACTCTGATAGTTTAAAAAAAATATTTTCAAACATTAGAGTTTTGTTGGGAGATATTTGTTGTTAGTTCTCGATAATATCGAAAGAAAACAGAAAATCCCTCGTAATTACCGCGCAAGTACGGCAGTATTTCGAGTGGCTCAAAACGCGCGGTGTATAATACGAGCGTCGTTTCTGACCAAGCTCACCCCCATCGCGTTCACCCCATGGAACGAAAGGGCGCGACGGAATTTGGACGGGGTTCAAGTCTGATCAATAATGCACCATTATTAAAGCCCACATACATCAGACTAAATCCGCAGGCGATACTCCACAATTATATGGTATTTCTACGGAGATCCAGACGTGCGGGAATTAATTGCGCCATTCAGTCATAATCGGTGGTTTGTGTACGTGACAGGCAAAGGTTCTTACGCGAATGAAGAATGATTTTAGGGTCGAAACGTTTATATATTAACCAATTTATAATAAATAAAATACAAATAACATCTGTAATAAAAATAACGTCTGAGTGACGTCTGTTCGCGTCAGAAAGTTAATTTTTTACATTTTTCGTTGTTTGTTTTCAGCCATGTTCTTGAACGCAAAGAGAATTCATGTGTTAATTTAACTTTATCAGAGAGTTAAGTTTTTTTACTTCAACTCTGACTTCTTCACTCATTTTATTGTGTTTTGATTACTACGTAACCGATGTTCTGAGCAATTAACACATTGAAGCATTTACGAGAGGAGCGATAATTTAGGAAGTCAAGTGTATGCGCGAATCTACACGTCACTCGTGAGCGCATCAGCAGATCTCTTAATCAGAGGGTATTGTTCGGCCATGCTTGCCGGGTGGATATTGAAGCAGCGAAAGGGTTGGCGCACACAGCGCTTTGTTTTCAGAAAGCAAACAATATCCCCAGCTGTCACTATTCCCTGCTTTAAAAGCCGAACTTTTGATCTTGAAAAACTATTGGGATAACTCGAAGAATCACGAAAGCACTTCAGTGAAACCTAAACTTTTGTCATAATTTCTTCTACACGTCGTCGGGATAGACGAAAATCCTCATGATAATCTTGTAATTTTACTTTTCTCAAATATAAAAATGTTTTTTACGCGAAGATTTTTACTGCAAATTTGTCGCAGAATACTTTGGATATAGTCACGTTATGAAAGCACTTATCGAGACGGAGCTCTAGTGGTTAAATTGTTGTACGAAGCACGTATATCCACTCATCCTAGAAAATGTTGGATCTCTTGTGCATCGAACATGCGCCGCAGTTTTGCAGCACATGCTTTTAGTCACAAAGGGCGAGAGAGCTATTGCTTTCATGCTAAAACTAGATATGACACGTGTACCACATAATCAATATGGAGCATCTCTATCATCTTTTTAAGATGCCGAAGGGTACTTTAATTATCGGTAGAAAAAAGTGTTCTCTGGTCTTCTTGCCGACATGACATTTGTGTTAAAAAATGTAACTATAAAGATTTACAAAAAAAAAAAAAAAAAAAAAAAAATCGTGCGCGCAATTACTGTGTATCACGAAAATGTTTATATTTGCAATCTACTCGGACTGCGTAAACACTATCGCGAGTTCTTTATTTATACGTTGAAAAGCCGTTCTTTGACCCGAAAACAGGAACGTGAAATATATGTCACCACGGTATAAAAGCCGACTATTAAAATGCAACTAGAGTGCACTAGAAAAACTCGCGTGCAACGTTCTCGTGTATTTATAACACGTGCACTTTGCGTGATAGCACACGGCACGTAAAAAAAAAAAAAATGCTGAATACACGATAGATCTCTTTGTTTCCTTTTTCAGCGGAGAGCAAGTGGGAGGAATTGCATCCAGGAGGTGAGAGACCGCCGGCTCTTCAGGAACACAGCGCGGTAGCTTATAAGGATTGTCTTTACGTTTTCGGGGGTGAATTGGGCTTCTCCGCTGGAACAGAAACGCCACTCTGGGTTTATAGTGTCAAGGTAATATACAACAGCAAACGTTATATAGCTGATATTATTAGTATTACGCAAAAGAGTTTCCTTATTTTTGTTAAAAAAGTAGCAATTAAAAAAAACAAAAAAAAAAAAAATGAATTCAAACTATTAAAACACAAAAAATATGTACCGTTGAACATTTTTTTACGGTAATGAATATCGGCGCGTTCTTACACTTCCGATAACGACTGCGACAGCCCGTGTCGTATCGCTTTGAGGAAACTCTTAATGATCTTTTCCGCGAGAAGGGGAGCCTCATCAAGAGAGAAATGGGAACGACAGAAGCATCGCACCCTCGAGAGACGTCGTTTATAATCGATAGCGGCGTCATCGGCTACGAGTTTTATACAGCGCTCTCGAGTTGTTCTCCCTCTGGCACCCTATGCCTGTAACATAGAGGGATGATTTTGGCAGCGGGTGACAAGCTGCCGGGAATCGACCGGCAAATTTATCCAGCCAATAGTATGTGAGGAAATTCACTAAGCCGTCGTTGTTATTCCGTTGTGTTCTGCGATGTCAAGCATTTCGTGGCAAGAATAATAAGCGTCATGAAAACGGAACAGCGACACGGGGTGGTTGGCCTTTTCCGTTGCTTTGCGTGCAGAAAATCAATCCTTCGAAATAAGCGGCTTCAAAATCGATGCGGCTTGTAAAGTGAAAACGACATCTGTCCGGACAATCGGTCAAACTTATGAAAATTATATTTGTCACATAACACCAAACGAAAGCTGAGGAGCTGTAATAAAATCTATTTCTGAAATTTTTTTGATTTAAAAAGATGTCATAGTTTCTTGCACACGTTTCAAATTTAAGGGATAAGAAAAAGCATCGATGCGCGATATTGTCAATCAACTGTGGCGTGATTGCTCAAAATTGCCCTTCGTCTCGTTTACCAAATTGAGAGGGTGCCAAGCTCTCCTTCCGATCAGTGAAACGGCGACTGCCCGGAGGCTATCCGTCGGTTTATCTAATCAAATTGTACAGGTCGATCTTAACTAAATTCTTGTAACGATTTCAACGCGAATTTCAAATGAAGATTATTGCAAAAACACAAAAGCGTTATTTTACAAAAAATGGCGAAAAATTAAACGAAAGTTATTTTACAACTTTATACCACGCGAAATACGACGTTTTTTTCGTCTAGAAATTGGATTTTCCGTTTCAATGCCGATGCAATGTCTACCGCGTCTAACTGAGATGAGAGAACGTCTATGCATTTAACGTATATGTAACGTTCCATTCACAAGAGAATGACAGAAGTCGACATTCGACGATGACAAATGAGATCTCTCCTTCCCGAAGTGATACGCTCAAGGTGTTGGTATTACTTCCAGTTCCAGAGACACGACTGCAATCGATCCGAATATATAGACATACACGTGAGATAGACGATTTCGAGTTTCAGATTAATCTCGAATTTAGCTGATGCTATCCCAAGCAATTATCAACTAATGTGAACTGCATATATGTGATCGTCCTTCCACGAGAAATTTATGTAATCTGTATGTAAGTGATATCGACATAAATAAGTCAATTCTAGTATTATATTATTTTTATTTATATTATTTATACTACATTCATACTATTTTTTAAAATAATTTATACTTTATGGTGATCTCCGTCTTCTTTTCCTTGTGACAACAATAACATTTGCTCACGTGTTCCTTTAATTTCATACAATATTCAAGAGCGGCGCATCTTTCGCGGGACTTTCAAGAGCAATTTAAGTAGTCGAGGATGGTGTTTGGCAACAGCTGGTGTTAACAGGTTTTCTCTTCAATTCGTACCCTCGAAACCAGACCTGGGGTTTCGGGATTCTCCAGAGGATAAGAACCGCTCACGTGCGGCATTAAAAATTAACACGGCCGGCCGGTGCGAAACATCATACGCGTTATCGATTCTTTCTCAGCTATTGCCTTGCTTGGAGGATAAAATATATTTGAGACGCTATTTATTCGGCAAACGCGTGAATTTTTGAGAATTTTGTTCACTCAATTCCGCGACGTGTAAAAGTAAAATTTAATCTTATCATTTCGTTACTATGCACCGCGAATTGCATTGTATGGCTTGATATACGACTCTATGTGGAGCGGATAAATGTGGTTAACTATACCGATTTTCCTTCGTCAGCAGTGGCTTGTTATCTCTCTCACTCGATAGGTTTCATTTGTGCTGCGTTATTCTGACAATATCTTTCACGCAGTGATTTCTATATGTTTGTGCGGAAAACATAACAGGATCTTCTTTTTTATATTTTCTTCCTACATCTATACGAGTACCTATCACGATAATAACGATTATTGGATCGAGCACAACATGTAAGATAAAAATATGTACAATAAAGAAACATACAAGTGATGTTCAAAAACCGCACTTTACGATAAATAGTCAAAGCTTAGTTACTCAGATATTTCACAATTTTTTTCGGCTAAGTTACCATGGTTACTCTTGCTAAAGCCCGTTTGTTTTTAATCGCTGGACCGTAGAGCTAGCACAAATGCGTTCCCTTCATTGTTCTGTCTGTTCTCGCCGTGTATTATTGAAATCTGCGTTACGAATGCGTCAGACAAACCTGATTGGTTAAACCATAGGGGTTGCTCGGGCGCATTCGTTTTTCTCCTCCCTACCTGATTTAACTCCCTATCTTTTTCACTTTCCCTTTTTTGTACTTCGTTAAAGTACCCTCTCAAATGGAACGTGCGAGAGAACGTGTTATTCCGTATCTTTCACGATTTCTTAATTTACAAATATAAAAAAAATTACATAAATATACGAACGTACTTCTGATAAAATAAAGCGATTCACTTAACACTTCAGCTTTTAAACAAATTTATAAAATTGCCACTTGAAGATGTATATCTTATCTCTTTTCGCTTAAGTAATTGTGAAGTTGTGCAAAGGAATATGGAAATTCTCTTGAGTACTAGTCTGCAAAGTTATTTAAAACGGCTCATTCACGTATTTTCATTCTTGTGCTACAATTCCGCGAACCGCGACATTTCGAAAAAAAAGAAAAGAAAAAAAAATTACCACGATTTTAAAACGCCGCTCGACACACACGCCCAAATTTTCTGCTACATTAAGCGATAAATCTCTCGAGAAACGCGGCACATTGATTTTATCGATATGTGCAAATATAAAGGACGCTCGCGAGAAGAATGTTTTTTATTCTGCGACATACTTTTCTGGGATGTGTTCCAAGGCAACGTAACAAAAATAAAATCTGCTCATATTACCCATCTAACACGCATACACACATAACAATACTTGATTATTTAGTAAATTAATTTGTGAAAAAAGCACTTTGTGTTTTGTTTTATAATTTTTATTTTTTTCTTTGAAATTATTTCTAGTCAATATTGTGTCATTTTTTAAGAAAAATTTACAATTTACACATCGAAACACATATACTGCGTGTAAATAAAATACATATTGCAGTTCATATTGTAAGCGCGGTAAGAGAATAATTCAGTATTTCTATTTAGTAGCCATGGCAGAGACGATTATCGCAGTCCCGGCAGTTAAAGCCGAATCTATTCAGACGGCAGAATTGGAGGGTTACAAATTAGAGGTCTTTGTTCCTTTTGTTGCAGGTCGCTCTTATTATGTGTGGCGCTTACGAATACTCATAAATATGAAGTAACTTGTAAAAATAGTCGCAGATGCAGAAGAGAAATGAAACTCCTTTATTAATATAATTATATGGAAAATATTTTTGTTTAAAATAAATAAACGAGGACGTTTAACTATTGTCAACAGTGTAATGTAAAGTGACATAAAATTTGTTTATTATCAATTTTCAGACAAACATGTGGAGAAAGGTGAGAGCTCAACGTGGTTGCGCGGTTCCTAGAGGTCGAAGGGGTCACACCGCTCTGGTGCATCGTGGACAAATGCTCATATATGGCGGTTATCAAGATCTACGTGGAAGCTCATCCGAATTATGGGCTTTTCATTTTGGTGATACCATTTTTTATCTTGTAAATTGCGTATGATTAATAGCGTAATTAATAACGACTCTTTTTCAACGTTACAGAAACTGAATCTTGGCATCTACTCTCATCGAGCGAAAACGGACCGGCTGCCAGACACAAGCACTCGGCGGTTCTGCATGGCGACGCAATGTATATTTACGGAGGAATGACGGATCTTCAAGAACGGAACGATTGCTGGCGATGGGACGTCAACAGCGCTTCGTGGTCCATGCTGAAGAACAAACCAGGTCCCGGACCTCTTCACGGTCACGCAGCATGCAGATTGCCGAGTTGCATGCTGATCTTTGGCGGTGAAAGCGGCGGACTAGCGACGAACGAACTATGGAGGTTTCATTTTGGTACGTATTATCATAAAATTAAAAAAGAAATGTATTTCCAACAACAATCGGTCTAAATCAAATTCAAACAGGCACAGAAACTTGGGAGAAGTTATCGGTATCAGGACCAAAACCGCAGCCACGGGCTGAAAGTGTTGCTCTCGCAGTATCTGAATTGTTAATTCGCGGAACAAGCGTGGACAATCCAAGACCGAGGCCGAGAAATCAAAGGCCTAGGCTTTCCAGCAATAGAATGTCGCCAATCGAAGCACCTTCTGCCAGACCCAGTTTTCTCAAGGAAATTTCCAAGTTGTCGCAAATAAATCTATCGAGACTCAGCCATCCAACAAAGTGCAGCTATTCAGTTCTCAGTGGCCACGACGACAATGAAGAAAGTCCTCAGGAGGTACGCGTTTAACAATAAAAATTATTGAAGTAAAATTTTTAAAAGATGAGCTTGTCTCTCTTTGCGGTGTGTCAATTAGGCCTGCGTGCAGGCAAATACGTATTATCCTTTTCAGCAAGTAGACGTCGAAGTGGTCGAACCTTCTACCGGGATGGTGAAGTCTCGCAGTGCTAACACGCTCGCTCGCCGAAGACAAAAGACGTCAGAGGGAACGTCGAAGACGGTCGACGCTAGCAGTTCTAGCAATACTACTAGTTCTGGTATGACCAGAGATCCTATTTCAGTGCCAAACTTTCGTGCTTTGACATTACCAACTCCTGTTCTCACGCCTGTAGAGGCCGCCAGATTAGTCTTTGTAGATCCAGATGAAAACAGTGACAACGAGGAACCACGTAAAGAGCCGCCTACGTCGAGACTAATTGAAGTTCAAGAAGAAAGGTAGTAATCATCTTCAATAACTAAATGTTTCATTAACTCTTTATGTTTTCTAACTTTGTTTGTTGCTAGATTTTATATTTTTTATATAAATATTATCATTACATAATCATTATATAATCAATTGCAGAGATTTTGAAACAATGCATCAAGCCTGTCAGCCTACACGCGGCGAAAGTTACAGCTCGCATCTCTATGAGGCGGCTTTGCAAACGCCAAAAACTCCAACGACCACAAAAATACCTACTTCCGCCTCGGTAAGATTCGCCGATCTTGAAGAGGGCGAGGAATCGACGTCGGATTACGCAAGTATCGAGGGAGCGAGAAGTCCGGGCGATCCGCTCGCGGACGAGGACTGGAGCGTATCCGGAAAGAAATCAAAACCACACAAGCCGATCGTCGCCACGGCCACGATACGAGAGGGCCAATTCGGTTTTTGCAATCCCAATTACCTCGGTCTGGACGAAACGAGAAGCCATCAGCATCATCATCATCATCATCACCATCATTATCAACAGCAGCAACAGCAAGACGGAAAATACGCCAAGCTGCTCAATAGTCCGCCCGATAGCGTGCTGGAAGATGAACCCGGAAGATCAGCTTCGCAAACATTCGCCGAGCTTTTGGAGCTGCAAGAGATCAAGAGAACACCTCGGGCACCACCGAAGAGCCTGCCTTTAGGCTCGCCATCTAGACGAGCGGTAAGCGCGTCGAGAGTCGAAAGACAGAGAACGAAAGTAGCGACGATGGACGCGACTGACGTGAAAACACCTTCGTACGGGCCGGCGCCCTTGTACGTTTTTTTAGTTGGCGGCAAAGAAAAAGGTCAAGTCACGGTGTTCGCCAGGCCGGTCTCTCTTTGGAAGCTACAGCTGGCGCCGCACATCTTCTAAGAATGATTGATGGTTTATTTTCGCCAAGTCACATACACACACACAAACACCCCTACGCATCCGTTAGTGATAAGAATGGATTTAAAAACCGATTTCGTACAAGTTTTCATTTTTAATGTTTTGCGAATGCTGCTCTTGATAGTAAAATTGATGTAGGACAAGATATCAATATGTTTTTGATATTTATATTTATTTATTTTATTATTAGCACTAAAGTTAATTTTATACATGCGTTCTTCGTTACGAGACAAATACGTTTCTTTCTTATGTAAGATTAAATTATAAAGTTGTTAATTTTTTTGGTCCGTTAAAAGTTGTTAATTGCTGTTTATGCGTTATATCTATATTCAAAACACATAGAATCGAGAAATCGGAAGAAAAACTAACTATGTGTTGCTAGACATAATAAAGTATAAGGCAAGTGTCTGCAAATGCCATTTACGTGTGTCATTATGTAAACTTCAAAAATTTATAGCAAACTGGCCGATTCGAAACGAGTGTTCTTAAGGTGCATTTTTTGCAGAAACACGATTTAAATCGAAACGCAGGTCAAGTCAACAATCTTTTACATGTATATGATCTGTGATGATATTTAGTCATTGCTGATAAAATCGCATTATATGAATGAACTCTCGCTCCTTGCAATACGTATAAGAAATATTAATATTCTCGAATGTCAAGACTTCAACTTGTTCCCAAGAGCAAGCGTCAATCACGAAAATTGACCTGATCTGCGTTTAACTGCCATTGAATGTGTAAGAAGATTCAATGTACGTAAAATAGGAGTAGAATATTAGTGTCAGAGATTCGTAAGCCTTTAATGATAGAATCAGAACAATCGATCAAAGATTACGGTCAATCGTGTCCAATCCAATTGAAGAAACTTCATTACTGACCGATTTTTGATCTCTCTGCAATATTAGATAGATTTTTTTACGAGACATTTCTAATTTTTTTTTTATCTCCACTCAAGGCAAATCGATAACTGTAAATTCTTCATCAAACCGAATTTACTGTTTTTATGACTGAAAAATATTTTGAAAAAAAGTATATACAAGCCAGAAATATTGATCTCTAAACTAGAAAATGTTATTATGTGTAACAATAAGCGATAATTTCAATCCGCCAAACTTACTCACTTTACTGTGAAAAATTAGCAGGTACTTTACAAAAATCTCAATAGCGCTGTCGTATAAAACATTTGCTCCCCAGAATTTATTCGTTGATGTTTCAAAGTCTTACGTGCCAATTAGTCAATTTTAGCTTGTGTTATTACAAATTTCTTTTATTGTACTTTTGTTGTACCGTATGTTACTTTACTGATCTAAACTGTACATAATATTACCAATAAGATAGTATAGTTTCTCTTCTTTTTCTTTTTCCTAAAAATAGTGAATATTTTTGGGAGCCACTAAAACAAAAAGAAGACAATTGTGTTCCAAGAGACTATGGAGCGCGTGAGCCAGCGGTCTCGCATCTAATAGTTGCAAATCGCGATGAAATCGAAAGTCTTTACCGTGAATGTATCTATGTACGATCGTAGCAAGTTAGTGTTATTATAAGTATAATGTAAGTAGAACAGATGCACGACGAGAGGCGATGTGTACAATGGGAGCTGTCTTGTCTGTGTAGAATTTTTACGACCGTAAAGGCCCAATACGTGTAATCCATCCAGTAAGTAGCTAAAGTCAACAACAGTGGCTTCTCGTGGGCTAGATATTGAGAGAGAGAGAGAGAAAGAAAGAGATGCAGAAATTAATTTGCATAAAATCCAATAAAAGAGATTATTAATTATAAACGATTACAAACAACTGTGAGTTGAAAATGTCGCGAAAACTGTCTTCGAAACATTTGACGAAGAATTATAGCGAAAGAAAAAATTATTTTTGCATAACGCTGCGTCAATCATATCATTTGTCTCCTTTGCAAAACAAAACTCAGAAAAAGCTTACATGCCACTTATGTGCAAATGCATTATTCATTCGAATTAGATGCGGTCACGTGTCGACCGAAAAATAAGAACGGAAAAGATTTATGGATGTTGACTTTTCATCGTAACTCGTTTTTATTCCGCTTTTGTGGAACGAAAAAAAGTTATAGCAGAGAATCGCAGTAAAATTATCTCATGTAAATTCCAGCTTGCTAAAATCGGAACAAAACCGCTCGCTTACTTGCAGTTAGTTGATCTTCTAATATCTTCTTTTTCCGTTCCGTTTTCTCTGATTGCGCGCAACCGTGCTTATCGCGAAATATAACAAATTAACAAGTGATAATTTCGCTGCAACTGTATAATGGGCAAATGCAATATTAGAAATTATAAGATATAGAATCGAAGTAATAACTTTTTTTTCTATTACGAGAGAATCCTCTTTGTTTTCAAAGTGTGTTCAATGAAATTTGTGATTCCTTCAGGAATCTCCTGATATCTAGTCTCGGGGCTCGATTTACCCGAAAATCAATGTTTTCCATTTGTAGAGCTAGTCAATTATATCTCAATGTACAAAAAACTTAAATATTACAAAATATTACGTATCCTCACTTTATTGTATTTTTACCCTCGTATATAGATATTTTATCTCTCCGCGCTGATATAATTTTATTTTCCATTATTATCGAGTCGTCCGTGTTGTGTGTCATCCGATTCTATTCCCCGTAATACACGTTTATTCCGATGGCCATTTGAACGTGTGTATATATTCTTTTCTATATTCATTCATACACATGTAGCAACCGATTTAATGTAATACGTCGAGTCTTCAGAGAAGACAGAGAGAAAACGAACATTTTACATCACGACATATAAGAATCAAAAAAGTGAAAATAGAAAAACAATTGAAGTCAACGTACTCTTTCTATAAGCTTAAACGCATACGTATGCGCCGCGATAGAAGACTATCGAAGAAATAAGAAAGAAGATACCCCTTCTATAGATAGAATTCCATATCACAGAGCGTATTTTTTCAGAAACCGAACTTTTTTGAGAGTAGAGAGATATATGTTTCTTGTTCTCTGAAACATTTCCATGTGTGTGGTAATATCGGGACAATATTATCGCAAATATATCATGTAGTACGAAGCACCGAAAATATAAATAAATGGAGAACGGAAAAAATAGAATTAGATTTAAAAAACACTTTGCACAATGTTAGAGAGAGAAAGAGGAAGAAAAAGAAAGAGAGAGAAGGAGCGTGTGTACGTGTGTGTGATTTTTACGCGATCTAATATAAACTCAACAAAACATCATAGAAATATCGCAGAGTACGATCAAAATGTTTCTTTTCTTGATGATACTGTAAAACGCCGGTAATTCGTAAAATAAAATAAAAACTAAAAAAAATCACTATAGCGATATTTTCTTAAGACAAATTTATAAATTAACGCGAACTCGAAACTTTTATCAAAGTTGAATAAATTTCGTGCTATTTTTGGTGCTTAGTACATGTGTAATATTACGAAATTATTGTAGTTAATTGACTATGCAACATTACACAGACTTATTGTGTCTTCTATGATCGATTACATTACACGTATAATGTATGTGTGTGAACATACGATCGCGCGTATATAGAATAAAATATGTTGCGATATCGTTCGTCATCCCTTCTAATCTGAATGTAACTGAATGCAAAGAGATATGCGCCTATAGCGATATTCACACGTCTCTTGGTTCTTGTACAACTTTATCAGTAAGTGTAATAACTTCTCAGCGATGTGATTACTTCAACCGTGTGCAATGTAATTAATGTAACAGTTATTAATGGAACAGTATTATTATGATTAAAACATATGCCATATGAACTTGCTGTATATTTTTCTTTATAATATTCGACGTGTAAAAAATTGAAATATTTGGGAAACTTTTTCTAGCATCGATCTTACATCTTTGCATATATCAAAGAGAAGATCAAGTTGTGATTATTTTGACGGTTGCGATTTCTTAGTTTATATTTTCCTTACAGATGTGCTGTATACGGATGTGCTCTTATCCTTAAAAATTGTCATTACTGACTGTAGGTACTTATTCTGCGTTGCGACACGTAAAAGTGGCAGGACGAAGACAACTCGTAATATTGTCATCGCAGCGAGCATCTTCCTTTTCCAAAATTAAAAAAGGATCGAAAAGACAGTCTATTCGCAGAGTTTCTGCTGTTCTAGAACACGATTCATCACAAGTTTACTTGCTGCAAAATTGTGCAAATGTTGTTTGCTAAAACGAGATTCGACGAGACAAGAAACCGAGGTTTCAGTGTAGTTTTCCGCACCAATCATTGATGGCGTTAGTATTCCGAGGAAATAAAAATGAATTCTCACAACCGTGTACACAAAATTCCACGTAGACATTACGTTCATGAGAACGCATCTTTATAAAATGTATTTTTGCTTGCAATAAATAATAATTTTTTTATTTCTCTCTTAAAGACATGTGACTAAAGTAAAGTCACGCGACTTTAGTCACGTGTTGTTTTTCCTCTCTTCCCAGTCACAGTTTTAAAGATACGTAAAGCAAAGTCTCTCCCAAATGACCCATTATGAAAATGTTTTTAATGTTGCAATTTTTAGAAGACACTTTTGTCCCTAAAAGTACAAGTACAAAACTGCGTTGGAATTTTGTGAAAATCGTAATTACACAAAAAGTTATGAAGTTTTAAACAAAAAGCTTTTTTTCGAAAAAAAATTGTCAGGTTTTTCTCTAAACGCTTGTATTTCCAAAACTACTGAAGATTTTTTCAATTTTTTTTTTGATCGACGCAGAATTGTTCAACTTTTCGATTCAAAAAAAGAAATTGAAAAAATATTGCTTTTTGCGGAGATAATTAAACTGAAAGTCGTATGGATCTCACAGACCCAGTCTGGACAACTCGTAGGTCATTTTTTATGTCTAGCACTGAAGGATTAAACATGTGCGAGTCATCGATGACGCGAAAGTTTCCTCCGAGACACTTTTTCTGTAATCAAACGCAGCTTGCCTACAAATTTCGAGATCATAGTCGTTTTATTTTGTTCTTCCTTACGTAACAGAAAAATATGTGTACAACCTTGCGTTTGCTCGGGGTGATAATACAATCGCATTCAGCACTGTAACGTTTCCTTCGCCGTGTTGTCAACAGATGGAAGCACAATGAATAGAATAGCTCGACGTAGCGCAATTAAGGGGGCGGCGCGCTATACAACTCCCTGGCCCCTCGGCCCGATCGAGAATTCATGGCTGGCATCAGGAGCAAGAGATGCACGAAGGGGAATAGAAGCAAAGGCAGAGATAGAGAGGCAGCGACAGCGACGGTGGCAGTAGCGGAGGCATAGACAGAAAGAAAAAGAGAAATATCGTAGAGGATGAGCAGCGATGAAGGACAGACAGACAGACGGAAGGGATAGGGTGAATAGAGACACGGAGGGTGGTAGAGTCGCGGCGGGGTAAAGAGCAGATACGAGAATGGAATAAGGGAAAAAGAAAAAAACTCAACCGCCAGGCAAATTATAGGGAAAAACGGGGTGGGACGCGCGGGCGCCGCGCTGCGGAGAAGAGGCAGCCCCGTGACTGCGCGGCGGCACTCACTTGGAGGAGGACGACGAGGTGGAACAAGAGAATGGAGGGGCCGAACGGGGTGGAGGGGTGGCGCCACGGCAATTCTGAACTCGCGTTCAACGTTCCCAACCGAGTTACCGAGGATACCCGCGAGAAGTCAACGTGCAACCAGATTCAAAGCAAGCGAGAGAACTCGGCGCACGAGTGAAAACTCATCCTCTTCATCTTCTTTTTCTTCTCCTCGTGGCGGATGTCCTCTATGCGCGCGATAATTGACAAGAAAGTGACGAGGGGAGCAGAAGAGAGATAGGGAGAGATAGTGGTGCTCGGCAAGCGAGAGCTCGGTGTGTGTACGCGGACAGGAGGGAAGACGCGGAGGAGAGCGAGAAAGAGAGAGAAGGATAGAAGGAGGGGGTAGACACACAAGTACAGTACGCACCTCTCTCTTACGCGTTACGTGCGGTCAGTGCGAGAGGCTGCGACGTGCCGCGAGCATGCGTCTGCGACGAACGGCCCTTCAGGCGAACGAGCAACACGCCGATTCGCCTTCGTCGCGGTTGTCGTCTTCGACGTCACCGTCGCCGTCGTCGCCGTCGCCGCCGTCGCCGCCTTAATCGTGCGTGCATCGTCCGCGAATGCTCCTTCTTACCTTCAGGAAACTCAGGTGGTGCTTACACCGAAGGTATTCAACGCGGCACGGATGCGTCGCCGTCACGCAGTGACCGACGAAATCAGCGGGGAGAGATACCGTGTCACTTGTTGTTGTGTCAAAAACTGACGTTCGTGCACGAGACCGCGCGTCGCTCTCTTACATGTGTCTTCACCGCATCCTCTCACACCGGAGCACGTCAGTGAATATAATGAAATCTACGGCTTCGGCCAGTCGCGCGGCGTGCAGCGCGTCGATACTTTCATACCCCAATGTGCGTATTGTTTTACGAGCATCATTCAACTCCAGTGCACTCGTTACAACAAACGGCTGCATGGAAAACGTGGTTATGCACCGCTCGCGTGTAAACGTTGACGTGTAGCGTGTCTTGTCACTGGCACCATCGGTTTTCAACACCTCAAAGAAAATTTTGCGCGCGCTCTCGAGAGACAGAGTATCACGGTCGCGAGAGAAGATCTTCGAGTTTTCGCTCCAAACATTTCTAAGTTTTTAAGTCCCGATCGAAACTGCGTCCACCAACAATATTATTCGACATTGGTCAAACGTTGCGATCAACGTGTACATACTTTGTTTCTTACGCGTCAACTCGCGTGTTTTACTCGAACGTTTCGACCTGACGTGCGAGACTGGTTCGAGTTCGGAATTGTTCGCATTTGTAGCGATCACGCAAATCAACAAACTGGACGCGGAGGTCAGCAGCGGTGGCGGCAGTGGCCGCAGGGGTGTTAGTCCAACACCCCTCAACAGTATAAACGTGAGTCTTTAGTTTAATAAATATTGTTGAACCTCTCTTCCCCCAAAAAAATTTGTATATCTTGAAAGTCTAACCCAATCTAACGCTTAAACTAACAACTTTGACGATGTAAAAAAAAAAAAAAATCTTCGCACATCTTTCGTTTCAATTTACAGCGTCATCTCAAGATAATGAAAATCGCATTTTCTTGCAATTTTATCAGAATCTCACGGCTCTATAGCTTTAATTTCCTGCAGATATTATGCGATCGCTATTAAACTCTTTCCGCCGCAAGAATCATTGGTTTCTCACTTTGTGAAAATTTCACCGATAGTTTCCACAATTCTATGTTTACTTTCTAAAAGTGGTTTCAAATCGCAAATTAAAACACTCCGTGCCATATATTCTCCAGTTTAACTCGCATGTGTCCGATGGTCGTGTTGAAAAATGATTTTTCAAAAGTGCGATACGTCGCTGCACGCATTTCTATTAGCGTGCACGTAATTGGCAACCCTATAACGTACGTAAAAAGGAATCGCACGTGTCGTGAGAAATTAATGACGAGTGATGGTGTCCAAGTGGTGTCTCTTTACCGCATCCGGTCTCCCCCTATTGCAGAAAGAGAGCCGCCTCTAGTTAGAAGCGAAGACGAACTCGTGCGAAAACGACGTGCATTCGCCAAGCAACTAGCCGCGCCACTCGATCGATCTTTTAGTCATGGAAGTGACCCGTACACGGCGAAACAATGAATAGAACATTCGTCACGAGGGGTGTATCGACTACCTCGTTTACCTGCCTCTCTCGTTTCTCATCAAATCGAACCGAACCGCTATTATCCACCGACAAGGGAAACTTGAATACGTCGGCGTGTTTTATTTCAGACCTACGTGCATCGACGCTTTGCTGCTTGCGCGTACGTACCGTTGCTTCTTGAAACAAAGTGTACTTAAGAGCGATTTATAACAAACATGGCCGGCGCGTCTATATTCCCTCGTCTGGATGTCTTTGTTCTTCGCGCTTGTTTCGCGATCAAAGATCGCGACGTCTTATCGAGACAGAAACAAAATCGATGTAAATCTGACGCCACGCATGTGCGCGGCCAAACTTTTAACACACTTAGCGAACTCCTCGGAGAACTCGGCAAGGGTGCACAGTTTGCTAGTTGCCAGCCAATGTAATAAACGTTACTATGTTGCTACGCCCCGTTCACGCCCCCCTGCCATACGTCGGCCGAAGAGCGATTTATGCGAACTATGCGCCGACATATAAGCTGTTTCTAAGACAGTCGGCGCGATAAAAATTTGCCCATCTGTTTGCCGTGTAGTTTTTATTATAACATTAAGCATTAAAATATACGGTTTAATTCAAATGCCATATACTATTTGTTTTCTTAAAAATACACGCAACCCTTGTTGACGACCAATATTTGTTTACACATCCGAGAACGATTATATCAAAGTCGTTTAAATAAATATGCTCAAAGAGTTACGCGGGAAAAATTCATATCAGGCGACACTCTATATATAAATAATATGTAAGTACAATGTACACACGCTTGTACTTGGAAACGATTAGCATACAGTCACCGCAATTAACGGCATGATAGTTTCAAAGATATTACGTCAGTGTTACAAAGTTGTATGCGCTGTTGTACTCGCCGTATATGAAACAGACATATTGACGGATATCGAGTTGCAAAAGACGCATAAAATTATTCTACAAGAAGCAGATAAATAATGTAGAAACGACATTTTAGTGAATTATGAAACAAACCATAGCGCGCGTCTTGAGCTCGGGCCACTCGGTCCGAACTGGAGCGAAGTGGCTTCGAACGATGGAAGATAAAAAAT